GGTACATGTTCCCATTAAAAAGAGGAGGTTTTACAACCTCTTCATAGAAAACACAAAACGGGTTTCATAGAGACACTTGATGTCGCCCATAACTAGTCCCCCAACAGAGAGAACATGTAAGTGCCTCCTATGTCTCCTGATGAAGCTATACCATTTCTTCCCTTGAAATGAAGAGTAGAGGTTACCAAGGTCCCAACAATCCTAATGTGTCACCACTGCCTAGTCCAGTTGTCTACGTCATACATGTCTACCCTCCCCATCGTGTTCACTGCAAAACTCTGACGGCACTATACACACCCTGCTACCTAGCCTCAAACAACAGTAACACTTAGTTTCAGCCATGAGCAAAACTTGTTCGTTTTGATCACGACACCATAAAAAAGTCAACATGAAGTGAAAGAAAGAGGCTTCCAGAAGCTCAATGCGTGTTTGCTAAACTGTAGCTTCCACAGCCTGATCTTCACTGCACTTCTGATTCTGGAATGTTAAGGCACCTGGCTCGTATCCACAGGCACTGGGGTGAAGGCGGCTTGTGTCAGCGGAACCGTGGGGCCCAGAAGGTCCCGTGTGTAGGTTCTTTCTTGCTTGTACTCTCTGCTATGTTCCACTTTCAACTTTTCTTTTGGCAGAACAGCTTCGTAACAAGGTGCATATCCAGGTGGAGGAAGGAATTTAAATTCTCCATGTCTCCCCCCAAGCAGAAAGCGTACCCTAAAAGGGATGTAAATCAGGATCAATGATATCGCTGTAAAAATTTATTAGCAAACAGAAGAAATAATGATTAATGAAAATCAACATTTTCTCCACTGGGCACCACCATAATATCTACATTTTAGAGTCTAAGAGCCCCTAATAGGAGAAGGCAAAATCTTATTACATGTGTGTTAATGGATCAGCAAAAACTTACTATGCGTTGAAGAAATAACAAAAGTGCCGGTGTCACAATTCTATGTGAATGAAATACTATCCATAGTAATTAGTGCTCAAATAATCAAAATATAAAGAGCTGGTATGATGTAAATAACTATGTACTTAAAATTAAAGTCTAAAGATCTGATCAAAAGAAGAGGAAAAAGTCAATTTTGAATTTTCAAGTGAATTTCCTCTGAGGGGATGTATGCAGTTACTTCCTTTTGTAACTTTGTTTCTTAATCCTATTCAACAACAAGTTCACTAAAATATTTTATAGATCATATTCATTTAATTAAAAGTAGTTTAACATGTGGCTGCTTGTTTCTCCCAACACTATTTGTTAAAGAGACTTTCCTCTTTCAACTGTATGATGTTTGTTCCTTTGTCATAAATCAATACATGTCCATATATAGGTGGGCTTTTTAAGGACTCTATTCTGAGGATCTGTGCATTTATTTTTGACTCCCACACCACACTGTTTTCACTATTATAACTTTTTAGCATAATTTAAATGGAGTGCAATACCTCCTTCTTTGTCAGAATTGCTTTGTCTGTTCCAGGTAGTTCCATATAAACCTCAGTAATATTTTCTCTATTTCTTTGAGGAAGTCCACTGAAACTTTGAAAGAAGGCCATTGAATCTACATATTTCTTTGGGTAACACTACCATTTTAACAATATTAAATCTTCCAATCCATGAGCAAGGAATAACAGTGTCAGAAAAATTAGACAGCCACATGAAAAGGGATGGCACTAGAACACTACCTCACATAATACACAAAAGTTAACTCAAAATGGGCTAAAGACTTGGTTCTAAAACCTGAAACCAATAAAATATAGAGAAGAAAATATAGGCAATATACTCCAAGACAGTGATTTTAGTGTCGCCATTAGAAACTAGATTGTAATAGCAAAGGATGAAAGAGCAAAAATAAACAAATAGCATTACTTCAAACAAAATGCTTCTATTCATCAAAAGAAACTGTATTTAAAATGAAAGACACCCAATCATGTGAGAAAATATTTGCACGCCATACATCTGACAAAAGACTAAAATCCATGATCTATATATAAACTCATACAGCCCAACAAAATAACCCAATTTAATAGAAGGACAAGAGATGAAATAGATACTTCTCTAAAGAAGACAAGCAGATGGCCAACAGGCACATGAAAATATGCTCATCACCATAGATCAGGGAAATGCAAATCAAAACCAAAATGAGGTATCACCTTATACATATGGGAATGGCTCTTATTAAAAAGACCAGAAACACATGTTGTCGCGGAGGGTGTGGAGGAAAAGGTGCCCTCACACATTGTTAGTGGGAATGTAGGCTGCTCCGGCTTCTATAGAAACCATACACACACACACACACACACACACACAAATGTGCTGGCCATACATATGCACTGTACACACGCAGTTACTGGATAATTTCACTCCTATGTAGAAGATAAAGAAACTGAATAAAAATAAAGCTGACAAATCTGAGTACAACATTGAGGTTAGCAGAAGAGGGTGTGGAAAGAGGCCCAGTGGATGAAGGTGGAAAACTATCCATGTGTTAGTGGTGAGTATGATGAGGTAACATGTAGTTGATGAGGTAGGAGTCTACCCTGGTAAATATACCTAGATAGTCTATAGAGCGATGTTGACTCAGTAAAAAAAGTGTTAAGCTCAGCCCTACTGAACAACACTTTTTTGAAACACAGGTAAATAATATTGATTTGTTGGAAAACAAATTCAAATTTTAATTTTCCCTATAATTCTTTTTTAAATTTGGTTTTGTTTCATACCAATAAATATAAAATTAAATAAAAAATAGAGAACAAAAAGTAAAAAAACAAAAACACTCATTCAGATTTCTATGGAAAAAATAAACACGTTTGATTTATATAAATACACCAGGAAAACTTTTAGACATGGACAGCCAATATTTCATTACCACTATGTCCCTTCTTCAAGATAATGATTTTATAACTGAATTTTTCCTGTGAACAGAGTTAAAACTAAAAGAATAACCCAAACTGATGGGTGGCGGGTAGCAGCAAGGAAACCGTCCTCACTAAGTGGGCACACACACGTTAACAGGTATCGCTCTCACCATACACCATCACTTACTAAAGCTCGCCAGGTCAAATCCAAGGAGTTAGCATTTAAATTTACCTTTCTAATATCAAAAAAGCAAAATGCGAGAGGAAGCCATATTGGCCGAGTGATGACAGGCAGACAACTGACTAATTGTAACAGGCGGAGGCGGTACACCTAAGCAGCCTCCTGACCCAAAGCAGACAAAGATAAGGTCTGCATGGAGAAGAGGGTTTGGAGCTGCATGGGGCCTTAGGGTAGGCTGAGGATGTGGTGGAAATTAAAGTAAAATGAATGAACTTGTGTAGACATAAGGAAGTACGGTGTCATTTTTGTTCCTGTCTTCCTCTTGAATGAAACGGACTTGAACTGTCCGAGGGCGATGGCCTCAGGGAAAGTTGGTAGCCCGCCCACATCTAACAGACCATGTGACCAAGTGCTCAGCCTGCTGCGACTCCCCTGGGTGAATGTCACCCCTCCCCTCCAGGGACGGGTCAAATGCGCTGTGGACAGGTACCCAGGAGCCAGAGTGAAGGCTGACGAAGAAGGAGCATAGCAAATGCAAAGTCTCCTGTAAAAGGATGAAAAAATGAGGAGGGTGGCCCTCCCTGGTGGCGCAGCGGGTTAAAGCACTGCACTGAGAAACTAAAGCCACTTCCGCATGAGTTCGATCCCCGCCTGCCCCGGAGGTGACCACATGGTGTGGCAGACCTCTCCTGACCCGCCCACTGCTCCCCTCAGCAGTGTACTTCATCGATCTGCCTGTTCTGCTTCCCGCTCTGTCTCTGGTGAATCCTTTCACCCTCCGCATCTCTGGCCTGTACCCCAGTTCTGTATGAATAAATGAATAAATATTAAAAAAAAAAAAAAAAAAACGAGGAGGGCAACAGACGCAAAACACAGAAATACTAACTTTATTCCTGCCGAGAAACTCACAACTGGAAAGAAGAGGCCGTCGATGTTGAAATTCTCAAACATTCCTTGAACAGGCTGTCCATTAATACGGAATGAGATGCTTGGGGCACTGAGATCTAAACAGCAGCTGATGACGTCGTCAGTTCTCAACAGGTGCTGGTTCGGTGAACTTACAGTCCGAGCAATGCAACCTATGGGAACCGTGAGAAGGTGATGGACTTTATAGAGAGAGTCATCTTCAAAGCCAAAGATGTGAACAGTGGCAAGTCAAGGCACAATACTGGAATAGAATAGAATAAGTCGGGAATGCATATAGAAGTCAAGTTAAATCTTTTGTCCAAATATGCTACATTTTGACAGAAGCTACACTATCTCCTGAAGTGAGCCTTCAGAAGTGCAGATGTTTCTGTGTGAATGAATGGGATCTGATGCAGAAATCATCTTAGCACTGATAACAGAATATTATTAGAGGGAAATTTCCGAGTTCACATGGCCACTTTACCTCCCGCTAGTTGTATGACCATCAACAAATTACTTACCCTCTTGACTTCCTGTAAAGCAAATGCTATCACCTTGAGTTGTTTATGATTAAATGAATGGTTAACAAACACACAAAATCTCAAACACAACAGGTATTGCATGTCAGTCCTTTTCTCAAAAACTAAATCCATTTTATAAGATAAAAATGCGTAAGGATAATTGAAGCAAAATATAGATCATTCACTTCTGCATTGTTTATTAAGGGACAAATACATATCAGCTGATTGTTGTTACTATTTCCTAGATCTTGGTTAGGTTCTTAAACCCAGCAGGGTGCATACAGTCTGAAGTATGAAAATGGTGTTTGATAAATGTCATTTCTTGCTGTGGCCAAGTCATGACCTAAACCCACTCTCGACCATCTCAGAACTCCTTAGTAAATAAGTTCCACAGTGGAACAAAACAGTGTAAGTTTCTCCAAAACACAAATACTCACAAACACAACACATACAACATTTCTCATTTTCTAAAAGATAAAAAATAGACTTCAAGGTACAATTTTTGCATTTTATGACACCTTTTTCTTAAATTTGCAACATGCTAAGATATTTTTTACCAACAGTAGATTTGAAATGCCAATCGTAGAGTATATCTACTTTAAAATGTGTGCATTTCTTTTTATTTGCCAATATTCAAATCTGCAACAATTAATTCACTGTCAACTGATTCCTCTGGAGTTCCCGGAATATAATAATGACAGTTGTTATTATTGTTTTTTTTGGGGGGGTTGCATATAAAAGCAATGTAGCTCACAATAAAAGATCTATATCCTTGTGTTCATCAAAATCTGTAACTGATCAAAATGTTATTACACAGATACTGTAATCCACATACACTGCTGTTGAGGGATATTTTTGTGCTCTTGCTAATGACTACCTAAAGTCCCCATGGGAAACAGTTTGCAACACCTGAAGCAAACAGGCAAGACAGACACCTAGTGAATGGCCTTGTGCCCATAGTTTTCACAGCACTCCCACTGCTAACTCCCTTGGGAGCATGTCAGGGTTCATTCACATCAGCTCTATCAGCTCCAAATGGGAATTACACTACTGGCCTCTGCGTTCACCAGAGAGGCAGACCGTGGGATCTGACTCCCAATTCAGTCTACTCTTCGAGCATTCCTCCATACTTCCGCATTTACTTTCTCCAAAAACACCAACATTTTTTTCATATCCTTGGCCTTTACAACCATGTGGAGTTTGGAAGGGAAAAACACTGTGCAAAGTTTAAACTGGAGAAAATATATGAAGACATAACTCAAAGCTTTTGCAGACCAGCTGAGTTCTGACTCCAGGAATCATCTCCACTATCCAATGATTTAAAAAAATGTCTTTAAAAGAATGTGCTCTACACCAAGGATCATAGGCATGTGGTACTTTTAATTCAACTTCAACCAAGATACAGGAAAGGAAAAGGATTATCTGAATTACCATGAACCTGACATTGGTAAATCAGGAACGAGTCAACTAATTTACATGTGTCTGTTGACTATGAATCTAAAATCAGCAAAATACTAAACCACTCACAGATGATTAACATAACACATCTTTCACTACTGATATGATAGATGCCTATTTTATTGTCATTTAAAATTGTCAAATATTTCCATAGAAATGAATTTTCAAGATAATTTTCTTCTGAAACCCCAAAACCTACAGTCCTTCCTGTGATGTTTCCATAGACTCACTGAATATATGTTGTCATTCTTATTGTTCTGTTCAACATGTATGTAACACACAAGGCATAATATGGCAAGATAATCTGAAGCCACTCATCACTAATTTATCAGATTAATGTCTTTCCTGCCTAATCTTTGTGTAAAACAAATAACAGACTTCACTCATCCACCTGGGTAATCATTTCCTGTGAAAGGCTACTTAGAGGTAAAGAGAGGGAAGAACATCTAAAGTAAGGCTCTGACTGTATTATATAACAGACACCAACCCCATTTTATGTGGATTAGGCCTTCCCAGGTTAGTGCTTTTTCCTTTTGTCATCAGTAGGCCAGTCATGCTATGTGAGCAGGCACTGTGACTCCAGTCAAACCTGCACTGCACAGCTTTGCACCTAAGCCATGAGCACCACTGCCCACCCAACCCCTTGCACCAATGGCTAGCCAGAATCTACAAACATGGGGCCACCTCTTCCCTATGCCTGAGTTGATACTGAATAAGGGAAAAGTTCAGTATTATTATTAGCTACAACAACAGATGCTTCCCTTAATACAAACATATTACCCTAATTCCTAGTTTAAGCCAATTTATTTTTAAATCTCTTCTTAAGTGATTAGACTTATGAAATATTAATGAGTGAAGATCACTTCTATGCATAAGAACAAAGCTGAGCTGACTGTATTCCATATGCTAAACGTTACAATATAAGACAATAATACAGCATAATATGTACTCCTAGGTACAGAGCCCATGTCTACAGAATCTCGATGAATTTCAACAGCTAAGAAACATCAACACAATCAAGAGCTAAATGGAGTCAACCGTTTATGGTTCCAGTAAAATGGAGCCAACCAAAATATGTGTTTTCATCAAAGTATTATTGTTAATATATTGCTATATTACTCATTTTAAATATTCAATTATCAAAGCTGAGATTGGTAGCTGGTGAAATAAATAATTTATTTTTAAACCCTTCCATATTTTCAAAACAAAACTGTCGTTTGATTGACTCATCAGTCTATACGAATTACTGATTCCTGACACTTACATTAAGCAGACTTAGTCTCTCTCCCAACGACCAAATACTTTTTTGGAGGGTTTCTCTGTTTTGTTGTTGTTGTTGTTTGTTTGTTTGTTTTTTTATAATGGAAGCAAAATCTTCACATATCCAATTAAATAAGGGAGCAGCTCTACCTTTTTGCGGTTTCTCGATGAATCGGAAAGCCACATTTGAATGCACTGCCCGGAAGCAACACAGACTGGGGCATGTGCCACAACTGCAGGTGTCCTATTTCCCTGGTGAAATCCTCTTTTTGTTTAATGGTCTCATCATTTCAATGTTCAATCCAAGCAGCAACAGCCCTCAGCAGTTGTGGCAGAAGACGTCTTTCAAGAATGGTCAAGAAACAGAGCGTGCGTACCTGACCAGAGATGGAGACCATCGAATCCGTAGGAAAAGAGGTCATCTCCGACACCGTTGCCACCCCACTCCTCACCCCCTCCGGGGTAGGGCGAGTGCCCCTCCGTGGACGCCCAGCCGACGCGCAGGTGAGTGGCCTCAGCTGTCACAAATGGCTCCGTGTGATCCACCATCAGCTCATAGTACCACTTCTTATACTGAGCAGAGCCTTCACTGACACCCAGGAAAATGTTGGGTCTCATGCTTAAAAAGATTGAAAGGGGCACATGAGAAGAGCCAAGCAAACTTATTTTCTCAAGTTACATTTATGTCTCACTATTTTGAATAGTCTGTTTCCCTCAAACGTAACACATACACACACTCCAAAACTGTGACCATGCTGTTGTAACAAGCACTGAGGCAGTTGCCGTGCAGCTAATGTTCGGTAGAGACTGTTCTCCAGGTGATCTGTCAACATCATCTTTTCTTAACTGGCCTTCAGAATCATGCTTAGGGTAAGGCAGCACAGTAGGTCTTGGAATCAGTCTCATCATTAGCCTAGTACCTGTGCACACTTGCTGGGCTAAGCTTTGTGTCACACAGGGCATGAGGCTAAAGCAAATCCTGCTGTTAATCAGCGCAATGAGGCACCTAATCAGCTTTCTTGCTCTGTGCCTCTCTGTGAACAGAATGTCTAGTTGTAGATAACTGCATTTTGCAAGTGGATTTAGACCTGGGTGATCCCAGGGCTAGTGAAGATATCGGAAATGCTGCTCATTAAATGCATGTCCATTCCATAAAGGGTCCTAACAAGCAGTAAATCAAACCTGTTTAAAAAACACGAACTAGAAAGAACAGCCACTCTATATTTTGTTCAAAATAGGCTGTACAGTTCTAGAGACTGTCTTAAAGTAATTACTACCATGTAACATGTGCTTCACTGAAATGTGGATTGCTCACCATCAACGTTACTTTGTTTAGGAGGCAGCGGCTCGTGCTGAGATGAGCGCAGCCTCTGAGCCAATGAGGGCTCCATCTCCAGTTCCGATGTTTCAGTCAAAAACTTTCAGTGCCTGGCACGAACAATGCAGCAAATACTGAAGGGTCTCTGCACCAGACTCAATGAGCGCCCAAGACCCTGGGAGGCAGAGGTATCTGAAGGTGCACTTCGCTAGCTCTCTCATGATGGACCGCTTTCAGACATGCAAACTGAGCTCTTTCCCCCCCCACACTCTGGCAATGGTATCACAGGGGTGTGCTTACGTATCCTAAGCAGTTATAAAACATGACCATCTACCACCATGTTCCTGCACATCCCCACCAGCCGGTTCCCAGAGCTGTGATAATCCACCTGCACATGAATGGCGATAAAAAGCTTTTCTGCATTTGTTTGTGATACATGCAGAGTCTGCTTGTTTCAGCCATTTTTGTTTTTTAAGTGTCCAACTTATTTTCTTGTGCACTGAAGAATTGGCATGTAGGCTAGAGGTGCAGGGGGGTGAGAGAATTCACCAGAAGGAGAACGGGAAGCAGAACAGGCGGATCTACCGAAATCCACTGCTGAGGAGACAGGAGGGGTCTGCTGCACCATGTGTGGGTCACTCCCTGGCCGGGAATGGACACCAGGGTACAGGTGATAGTGCTGAGACTTAACCCCCACGCCACCAGGGAGGCCCAACCACTATCATCTGATCGCTAGGAAACTTTCACCATTCACTAAGAAAACAGTTGAAATACTTTTTCTTATAAACTTACTGATATGTAAATATTGTCTGGCTTCTGGTGATTTTATGCATAACATGCAGAGATAATTTCATACCAGCACCAGGAAACTTGTTTTAGCTGTGCTCATCCACTGTGTTTTACCTCACACGACTACTGTTTCTAATCTGGAAAATGGTCAGGAATAAGTGGTTTTTATTGTTTGACTTACAGAATTGTCGACACTGGGCTAACCTTTTTTTTTTTTTTCTGGTTTTGTTTTATAAAGCAAAGCTGATGTTCATGAGCGTGAAAAAAAAAAAAGTAGTTCCTTTTCAAATAATGCATGAAATGTAAAACTTCCCAAAACAGCATCAGTTAGGCAACAACACTCACTCTGCGCCCAGCAGCAACGCACGCCACTGGGGAACGGGGAGACAGATGACGGGACAGTGATGAGACACATTAGCAAAGCAGAGGCTAAAGGATGTCGTGGTGATCGACCTGGAACACGAGTGATTTCGGCCAGTCACCCACTGGGCACTGGCAGTCTGAACCTACCTGCTGACGTGATTGACGAGCCGTGTCTGCAGCAACAGGTCCCGTCCGGGCAGGAGATTGTCACAGATGAGATGCTGGTTGGAACGCACCGCGACTCCGTGGCACACACAGAGAGAGCATAAGACGTCCAGCACCTGGGAGGAGGAGTCACTCTCAGCTGACACGAATTGCTTTTCGGACCCGAGCATTTCCAGCTTTTTCTCTCTACAGTACAGCGCATTCCCTCCAGTTACCTCTGACCCGTCCCTGAAACATGACCTCAGCTGTCCACTTCCTTAACAACTTTCTTCCATACATAAACTGAGAACTACTCATTCTCCGGTTGATGCTACCAACACTAACAGTACAGCCAATTACAGCTCAGAGGTGAGCACGCTCACGAGAAAGCTGACACACTTTGAAAAGTAACTTAAATTTTTTAAATGATTCCAGAATTCATTCATGGCAGTAAGATGGTCCATTTACCTTGTGATTTCGTCCATGCTTATCTAAAAGTGAGATAATGGATTTAATATGTCCTTCTTTAATAATATTTAGAGCTTCTGGACTTTCTACTAACACACAGTGTAAAACTTCAAGAATACCTAAAGAAAAAACAAAGGAGTGAGAGAGGATTAACCAGTCCATAGTAGCCATGCCTTCCTTTTCTCTGGGTGTTCATTCAGATCAAGAGGTCCGCACTTTCGTGTCACCGTGGTGGGGACAGGCGGTCGGGGCAGAGGGGACGGATAACCAGAGATGATGAAGTGAGGACAGTGAAGGCTTCAGGTGAGAGAGCAGGTAGTTCTGCCCGGGAAGATGTGCAAGTTCGGCGAGCTCATGCCGAACGCGCCGAAACTGCTCCCCAGAGAAGGCGCTGTGGGCTGGATGAAGTGTCTCGGGGGGTCATGTGCTCTGTCTCAGGACAGAGTGAGGGGCAGCGGGGCAGGTGGGTAGGGCAGCTCTGAAGCGTCCTGGTGCTACAAGCCTGGCCTTCTGACAGTCACATCCCAACCACAGAGGTCATTACAATCACCGTGAGGTTTATAGTAAGTGTATACATATATAATATAATATAACATATATGTGTATATTATTTACAAAACAAGAGAAATAAACAAAGACAGGGAAAAAAAAACAATAAAACCTAATAAAATAGTGATACAGTTTGCTGTTAGCTGCCAGAGACATACAATGGAGTACAGTTGACCCATGGAAACTAAGGGGGTCGGACAGCAGTCACCCAATCCTGACCCAGAAATGGTCAAAAATCTGCAGGAGCATGGTTACCCAACGCTCTGTTCAGAAAGCAGTGATCCCGTACAGGAAATTACGTGCGGACAGCGCGTGGTCAAGAGCAGAGTTTGCGCAAAGAAAACGACTTACAATGTCCTTCAGTTGGATATATTCTCAGGAGACCAAGCCAAGACATAAGAGTATCAAAAAGCACAACTGTGGAGAGACTCAAAACACTGTCACCTAGGGAAAAGCCGCGCTGACTTGCTTTACTTACTTTCGGACGCCCTGTCCACATGCCCCAGTACAGGATCTCTCCCCAGGCGCAGTCACCAGTTTGCCCACCTCCCACATGCCCCGTCCTCCACCACCCTCCACGGCGCCCCCCACCTTCCCCCACCCACTCTCCCCTCCTGACTGTCCCAATCTAGGGGCAGCTGTCACCGCTCAGCTTTCCAATTTGTCTTTTCTGACCCTGTGTTTGATTTCTCGAGATCCCACGTAGAAGTGAAGCCATCTGCTATTTATCTTCCTCCTCCTGGCTCATTTCACTTAGAATTATCCCTTTCAGCCCCATCCATGTTGCAGGAGTATTTGAAATCATTCACTCCCAAACCTGCAGTGAGCGGCAGGGTTCAAGAGCAAATGAGGGAGAGGCCGGGGCCCGAAGATGGCCGAGGACGCTGGCCGGGTCCCTCTGGACACCACTTCCAGTCCAGAAAGCTCATGACCTGCTCAACTCATGTCGCTGACATGAGAGTCATCAACATCACAGTGCACACCCAGCCGCTGGCTCCCCGCGTCAGGCACACGCAGCAGAGAGGGTTGGGCACAGAATGGAGAGCCCAGGGCCAGGCCCAAGTTCTGACACAGCTGCTTAGACCTGCGTGACCTTGGAGAAGCAACTCCTTGGGCCTTAGCTTCCCATCTGTGAAAGGACATACAGCGGTCACCTCTTAGTTAGTGTGAGGATTAAGTGAGCGAATATATTTAAATAGTGTCCATCCACAGAAAGAGTTATAAAAGCATTTTCTTCCGTGCAGCGGAAGAAACAGTGTTGACATGGAAAAACCTCCCCACGAGCTGCAGGACCCAATCTCCCCAGGGAACATTTATTAGTCTTTTTCCACCCCTCCTCTTGCTTCTTCAAAAATTCAAGGCCTATGTGTGAATTTGAAGGGAAGCAAAGACCTTGCAAATCCATCACACGCCAGGAATAAGAGCACCCAGACCCCTGTCTGTCTAGGAAAGCCAGAGATGCCCTCAGCCTGCTTACCCCAGGTTGCCAACCAACTTTTACTGCCTGACGTGGGGCATGAGAGCTACGCTTAGGCGAGTAACTCTGAAAATGATGGTAAAATCAATCAACTCCATGTCACAAAGTGCTCAGTGCTATTTTTCTCCTCAAAAATGTGGTAGCTGGAGATTTTTTCACTTAAAGCATCATTTGCTAGCAAGGAAATTTACCCACTATCTGCCACGTTTTTAGAAAAGTATCTAAAAAAGATTCTGATTTTTCTAGCATCATTCAAGAGCAAGTCATTTTTTTGCCAGGAATCTTACCTCATCAATCAATAACCTTTCATTTCTCACCCATTATTTCAACCATTTCAAGAGAATATTTTTGAGAAAGTTGTTCTATGTTTCCTATCATCTTAAGTGATGCAGCTTTAAGCATAATTTTCATGTCCTGGTGCCCCAGGACCATTACTTAAAATGCCAGCACTGGACTGTGTTATAGATGAGAGATGGAAGCAGAGGAAGACTGCGGTGTGGATTGGGGGGAAAGCAGGCACTGCCATCGTTTAATATTTCCTTTGCAGACTCTCCAATTGAGTCATGGTCCTGATTTAGCATTTGTCATAGGGTTCAGACGTAGAACTCCTGGGTGCACCTTGACTGACTGCGCCAAGTCAAAACTCTCACGTGAAAGCTGGCTTCTCCAAGGCTCTCCTCTGGAGAGCTCTCTATCGCTTTATCACTAGTGTTGCTTGAATCATGGGCATCGCTCCCAGAGGGGACCTGTGGTTTCTGTAGCACTGGCAGTCGGTTTCACACAATAACGCATGAGGATCCACTCTGCTAACTCAATCGCTGACACCTGAGTAGATGTTAAGGAAGAAGAGATTCTGATATACACGATTCTGGGAGAGATTGTACCACGGGTTACAATTTTCTCCCTCTCAAAAATGACGAGCCTGTGTCTACAAGAAATAGTGGTGACAGCTTTGGAAGATTGAAGCTATCCTACTTCAAGTACCAAAGTTATATGTCATAAACTCGGGCAACTCAAGACCACGCAGAGGCCCCTTCTTCTGCTTAAACCTGAGAGGACTTGATTCATAGCAATCTTCTAACAGTAGGCAGGGACTGAAAGAAATCCTGAAGATATTTTCATCACGGCAAAACTATCTGGGGAATAGACTACCAAAAATAAGACTCAAAAAAGCACACAGACTCCTGACCTACTGACTGTTTTGGTCAGCTCGCTCTTAAAATGCCCAGATAGCATTAAGTGCTGAGAACATCCTAAAGAAAAGCCCTGGCTTGAAAATACATCCCTTGGGGCATCCTTGGTGGCCGAGAGGTAAAGTCAGTGCTATCACAGCTGCGGCCTGAGTTCCATCCCTCGCCATGGAGAGACCTACAGGGCGCGGCAGACCTCTCCTGCCTCCCCGCTGCTCCCCTCAGCAGTGTATTTCAGTCCATCTGCTTGTTCTGCTCCCCACTCTGACTCTGGTGAATCCTCTCACCCCCTGCACCTCTGACCTGTACCCCAGTTCTTCTATGCAAAAACAAGAAAGAAAAATATATCAATTTAATCACCTTTACTTGCACATTTTCAATTAATTTTGGTCCAGAGACAGTCATACTTGAGGGCTGGGACAATGTCTAAAGCACCTTCCTCCACTCCCAAGAAATTCAAGTTTACGTATCTTGGCTGTTTGAAAAAAATCCTGTTGTAAATATAAGAACAGAGGTTTCCTTTCAGATAGCATCTCAGACTCTTCTAGGTGAGAGACACCTAGAAGTGGAATTGCTGGGTAACATGGTAATTCCACTCTTGTTCTTTTCAGGAGTCTCCACACTTCTCTCCACAGGAGCTAGACCAGCCTCTACCCCACCAGCACCCTAAGACATTCCCTCTCCCCTGCACCCTCCTAGCACTAGTCTGTGGGCTTGTTGACATGGGCCAACCTCACAGGTGTGAGCTGGTGTTTCATTTTGGTTTCCATTTGCACAGTCCTGGTGATAAGTCCTGAGCACCTTTTCCCATGTCTGTTGGCCATTGCAGACCACGCTGCTGAGCCATTCAGGAGGGAGAGGGGCGGGGAGGACGATGGACAGCAGGTAACTGGGTGAGCGGAGAGTGAGGAAGAGTGTGGTGAAGGACAGTGGGCACCTCGGTGGTGGGAAGAGTATGTGGTTGCAGCTGAGGGGAGAATCTACTGTGAAAAAGAAATAAGGGTTGTATCTGTCTATGTACCCGCTATCTGTTCTGACCAGAGCGAGCCCAAGAATCAGCGTCACCAGGGAGTCGCACTACCAGTGCTTGAGAGAAGTAGCTTAGAAACACCCCAACTGCCCGCCTCGGTGAGGCGCCTCTCGGGCACATGCTCTGTCTACTGCCAACACCACCCCTCAACCTTGTCTCGTACCCACTGGCGTCCAAGCTAAGCGTTTTCATTACTATACACATCCTGTTGCTGATCTATGCAATTCTTCCTCAGATTTCTAGTCAGATTTTCACAAACCCATTTGACTCTTGTCCATCACCTTTCATGATGGCGCTTGTAGAGCCCCTGGCTCAGCTCTCCTGTCTCATATAGGAGACAGGGAGTGGCTGGAACCCAGACTAAGGGAGGAGCGTGTGCGCGGCCAGCTCAGAGAGAATGTGCGGTGAGGCCTGTGGGAGCACTCGGCAAACAGTAAGCATGACTGAAAAGAGTTCATGTATCCACACGTTTGTAACGCATGTACTACATACGTATATGCCTATCGCTGTCTCTCTGTCATCAAAACCTAAGTGTCATTCTACTGCCCCTAAGGGAAAAAGCATTTCATGTAACACATAAATAGAACAACAGTCGAGAAAACTGCTTAGTAAAACATGTTTCCGGTCCTTAAAGCCAGGAGGCTACGACCTACACTGAACATATTTCAAGCCTCATATAAAAGAGCCATGTTTCCATCCTGGCTAGAACAGTTAATGCGAGCATCTCACGTCAGCTCTATGCTTCCATCTTCTTTCCTCTAAAATGAGAATGTGAGGCCAAGCATTCTCTAAGGTCCTTCCTAATCTTCATTCTCATCATGCTTTCTATGGGCACAGGACTTCTGTTTGAAGTAGAAATGCCTGAAACCGATAGCTGCAGTGGGAAAATATAATGGCAAGCAGCCACTTTTATCCAATGGAATTGCTTTTAACTAACTCAAGACCATAAACTTTGGACTCTAATTGATAGAGCTTAATGCTCAGTTCTTTATTGCTGTCTCTCTATCTTTAAACATTCTTGTCGAGTTGCTTTTTTTATAAAGAGGCAGCTAATTCACCAGCGTGAACAATCTTGTTGAACACTCTGCTCCTCTTCCAGGCACTCACCGGGCCACGGACAGGCCCACTCTTCTACTGCCTGCCAGAGCTGGCCGGCAATTCTGGACATGCTGACCTGAGTGTGCTCACCTTTACAGTCTCTGCCTTCGTCTTGTTACTACCAGATTACTTCCTCCTGCCGTTATTCAATTTTCTCCTTTTTAAATATCTTCTGTGTTGGGTCATCGTTACTCCACTCATGTCATGATACCATGCAAAACTTCATCTTATAATTCTTGTCACTTTATCTCAACAATATTCTTCTCTGCTCTCTGCCTGCCACTCAGCAATCCAACAATACCTCGAACTCGTAACCCGAGCTCTTCTTCCTCCTAAATATTAATCTCTGAAATGTCATTCTATATCTTTAACTTACTCTTCTGATCCCAACCATCTAGTCTTCTTTCTATTCATTCGACTGCAGTAAGCCTGTCCATGAGTGGGCTTTTCTCTTGCACAAGTCACCCAATTACTTCAGTATGGATAGAACAAAAATAATAATGAAGTGAATTCATTCACCAACAAATAGTACAAAGTATCTATTGGATTGACTGTGATAATCCTAGATACACAGGTGAGTAAAATGATGCTACTACCTTCTGGGAGTTCATTGTCACCGTAAGGAAGTGAGAAGAACATTAAATAACAAGAAGGAGCATTCGGGCTAGAGAATAGCAATTAATACAACCTATGCAAGCAGAGAGAGAAGCAAAGACTCAGTCTGGAGTGCCACCGAGGCAATTTATGATATTAGAGAATCCAAACGGGCCTGGCAATTACTTGTAAGTCTGCACAACACCAACATAGAAATAACATTGGTAGAAACAGATCTATCAGATTCATTTCTACTACTTTTTTTTTTTACTGCAACACAGACTATATATTAATATTCACTAAACCCCTTTAAGATATTGTGCTATATGATCTGGAAAATCTGTCTAGCTACTCAATGCAGGAATTCCAAAGCAGACTTGTTTATATAGTACACAAGGAGCGACAAAGTGAATGGGACATCGTTGGTGACGTCAAGACTTCGTTCTTGCCTAAATGTAAATGAACAAGATACTGCTAAATTGCTTCTCAGAACTACTAATGAAGTAGCTAACAAAATTAATGAACTAACTGATGAAAATGCCAATGATTTTATCAAGAGAACAATGTTTAACTTATTAAAGGGAAAATCATTCTATTGCAATGAAGTTAGGAGTTTGTGTTGGGTGTTAAAGGATACACTAGAGAGGGAAACTCTCTCTCTCTCTCTCTCTCTCTCTCTCTCTCTCGCACACACACACACACACACACACACACATAGGAGTAAAGTATCACAGCAAGGCGAAGGCTGGGAACATACCAGATGAAGCTTCTAATCTCTCTAGTCGGCTAATCAGCCAGTCCAGGGAGCCCGAGAACTGAGCACAGTTTTTACGATTTCCTCTAATGAGAGCCGCTGCAAAGAAAAGGGATTTCGCAATTAGAAGATGTCCCAGCTCGCTGTACAAAGGGAAGTAGCAACAACCCTAAAATGCTGAATCGAGAATGCACCTTCACTATTACAACATGTAAATAGGTGTGTGAACATATACATACACAATTGGTTCAGTAAACAAGTAACTGGTATTTATTAACGGGGCTGAAAAGCAGCACTCATCAGAAGGAATGTATTTTGAGAAAATGACATTTCATATCGGGTCATAATGAAAATATGCAGTGTCCTGAGAGCTTCCTCACTGGGGCACCAATACTCATGGCTTTTCGTTAGCTGGGAGACTAAATTTTTCTTTGCTCCACCGTACAGTTTTCTCACCTATATGATGAAGAGGGGAAGAGAGTGTCAGTTTTTCTGAAAATGTAACAAAAATATATAACAAATTGGACCTTTCCTGATGGCACAAAGGGTTAAAGTGCAGCACTGTGAAGCTGTCCGCAGCCATGGCAACACGAGTTCGATCCCGGCCAGGGAGTGACCCCCAGGGCACAGCAGACCCCTCCTGGCCCGCCCACTGCTCCCCTCAGCAGATTTCAGTAGATCTGTCCCCTTCTGCTCCCCACTCTGGGGAGCCCTCTCACCCCACCTGCACCTCTGGCCTGTACCCCCATTCTGTATGCATAAAGAAATAAATCTTAAAAAATAAAAATGTCGGCCCTCCCTGGGGGAGCATCAGGTTAAAGCACAGCACTAAGAAGCTAAAGCCACTTCCGCATGAGTTCGATTCCCGGAGGTGGCCACATGGTGCGGCAGACCTCTCCTGGCCTACCCGTTGCTCCCCTCAGCAGTGTTCTTCATCCATCTGCCTGTCCTGCTCCCCACTCTGTCTCTGGTGGAGCCTCTCACCACCCCTGAGCCTCTGGCCTGTACCCCAGTTCTGTATGAACAAATAAATAAATCTTTAAAAAATAAATAAATAAAATAAAAATGTCTTCACAACTACCATTATCATTTCAAAGGCGTGAGAAAATGAACAAATCAAAAAAGTAGGAACAGCATCTTGTTTATAAAATGGCTTTCCAGGATTCCCAGTGGAACAAAATAGGGAGCACTGTCTACACACACCACGCTAAGACCCCATAGGTGCAAGCGAAGAGAAAGCTCTCCATTTCTCCTCTGATGGTCTTTCCCCACCGCTTTCTCAAGTTTAAGGGGTCTACCAACCCATGACCCTGGAAAGAATGCTCTAGCTGTGCAAAAGTCCTTCACTGCTGAAGACTTCCTGAGTCTTGAAGGAGTCAGAAGCTGGTGAGGTCTGCTAAGGGCATGGTTGTCTGCTGTATTCTTTGAATCCTCCTAAAATGAGTATTCACAGAATTTGTCAAAGACCCACTGCTCAGTCCCGACTTGCAAGCCTCCTCCAGATTAATGGAGCAGATGTCAGCAAGATGTATGAGAGCTCACCACGTGATGTGTTCCAAACTACAATATCCGTATCGGTGAGGCCCTGAGGTCTTCCGGACAACAGGCTCATCAATCTGCTCCTTTAAGTTCTGTCACTCTCTGCCTGAAGCCCACATTAAATATACCCATGTCAAATTTGAAAATTGTTATAGATTATCATTCTTCCTCCATGCTAAGTAAACCCGCTGAAGAGAAAAAGAAGAAGGCTGATTTCACACAGAACTCTAAGGTCTACGTGGTTGAATGTGGAGGCTTAACAAGCTGTGAGTTGATATTTCAACCCAACTTTTTGAGAGCTGGAGTTGAAGGACACTCACAGGTAAATACGCCACCAAACTTCAATTATTTCTACATAGCTGAGGTTCTTCCAGCCCAACCCAAGCATGGGTGTAGGTGTACATGACTACCTATTTCATAAGTACATCCACTTCAATAAAAATTATTGGCATTAGCTGTTTCTTAAATTAATGTAAGATGTTATCCATTAGTGTCTCTCCTGATCATGAGATCAGTGTTCACTATGATAAAACAGAAAATCATGAGTAACTAGTGGAACATTTAATTACAAAACCAGGTCTCCCTGGTGGCACAGAGGTTAAAGTGCCGTCAAGCTGTCTGCAGCCCCTGCACTACCAAAGCAACCCTCAGGGGGCGACTTACAGGGCGCAGCAGACCCATCCCCCTCCTTCCCGCTGCTCCCCTCAGCAGTGGACTTCCTCAGTCTGCCTGTTCTGCTCCCACTCTGTCTCTGGGGAGCCCTCTCACACACATACCCCCATGTCTCTGTCCAGCACCCCAGTTCTTCTACCCATAAATAAAATAAATCTAAAAAATAAAAAAATAAATTACACAACCCCTTATAATTCTATGTATCTGGAGCAAACACCAGGGAAGCGACCATGCTATAGATTCTTTTTACATGGACTGACAGGCAGATGTTCTACACTTCACTCGAGTGTAGTTGATATATTACTTCCCTTTATCATCAATACCAGTTGTATTACATCTTTAGTTATAAAAGTTATTTGTGTTAACAGATCAAGAATAATATGAAGCCAGAAAAAAGACCTTTCTCATGAGAAGCAACAGTCGAACAGCTTTCTGTGTGTTCTTTCGGAAACATCCAGGATGTAGACATGAGAATTTGTATTTCTCTCCAGGTCTTAAGTCATGCAATTAGAATCTTATTACTTATACTGTTAGCCTCTTGATTTTTTTTTTTTTTCATTTAAAACGATACCCTGGACACCATACTAAAAGAGTAACCTAGCTTATCTGTTCCCCACAATCTCCCAGATGATATATTTACCTCAGTGTTCAAAATGGTCACTGATCACGCAGTGTTACTGTCTAAGTATACTATTATATCACTTATGTAACAGTCTCCTGTTGGTAGAAAAACTGTTTAGGTTTCATGCTATTTGTAAAACTTTTCAGTAGGCATATTTTCCATGCTTAGACAAACACAGCTCTAGAACATATATCTTAAAGCTGAATGTCTGAGTAGAAAACGATACACATTTCAAGTTTCATGTATATTGTCAAATCAAGGCTTCTTGGTTGTTAAAATCGTTTCAATTTACATTCCCACCAAGAATATAATACCTAACATGCTTTAAAAATTAAAAAGCAATGGGTGTGGGGGGAGGGCAGACCTCACTGCCCTGTCCCTCGATCTCTGGTAACATTTATAATAATAATGCGCCACTGGTATTTGTCGAAGGGCCTCAGGGCTCCCACAGCAGCAAAGTGCAAATATCGGCGCCTGTGGAGTGAGAGAACTTGTATCTCTCGTTGCGTGAGAAATCATTTCAAAGCTGCAAAATCTACATGTGCCTGAAGTCACGATGTTTTCCTGGTCACAATTATGGTTCTCCCACCTTTATTTTCCTGGAAGAGGTGAGATTTAAGGGGTTCTAAGTGTGTCCCTCAAATCCTTAACCAAATAGAGTGCAAATAATTCAATATAAACATGTAGCCGTAACTGCATATAAATACAGAGAAGCTACAGCGTGAGAGTTTACACAGAGGTATATTTTAAGTTTACCATCTATCAAGTCGTTTGCTATGAAATAATTCCAGGCATCCTGGAATTACAGGCTGTCCTGGCAGGAAGCCAGGTCCTCATATGCGGGCCAGGGAAGCTGAGCTTCGCTGTCTGCAGTGATGGGAAAATTCGAAAACTTTCCGAACAAGTGATGTGCAGCCATGCTGCAACAATGAATCTGGGTTTTGCAGGCCGAAGTGCAAAAGCAGCGAGCGGCCATTCGACCCAGACCTTGTGCCCTGCTGCTTGCCCCTCTGTGTGGGGCCTCTTGCCAAAACTGTCTGGAGCAAGCCACCTCGGAAGAGAGAGGATGTCTTCACCAGGGACAAAAGACATTCTTTGTTTATAATTGTATAAAAACATCTTTTACATTGCTTTTCATTTTGTACATTTTGACTTGGGCCCCTTGGTTCAAGATCCCTTCCTTACAAACAGCATGCTTTGCTGTCAGCTGCTCTTCCATTAAGTCCTTCAGGAACTGGGGTCCAAGAACTGACCCCTGAAAGGCTGAGATCCCGGCCACAGTCACTGCTTTGGGAAATCAACGACTCCTCTTTCCCCCAACTTCCTGCTGGGAAGCAGGGTAAAATCTCAGCCCTCCAGGGTCTTGCAAGAAACACATAGAAGCTATTGAGATAGTTCAGGTCAAAAGTGCTGAGCATCAAGGACCAGGACACACAGAGCCCCAGGGACGTAGCATAAACCCCTCCAGTGCTGCCTGACGGAGATCAGGCACTCCCACACGTTGTGGAGGCACAGCTCAGACAGACTGGGAAGGAGACTGCAGATCACCCCGACGGGGCTGTGAAGGGCTGAGGCCCTCTCATCAAACTCTCCGGGCCCGAAGAGGAACCGTCATGATTCCATACGCTCCCCAAAGAGGCCCCTCACCTACAAAACCATGGCCTAGCGGGTCCCTTGCACCAGGGACAGGCCACGTCAGTGGGTTCAGTGCGACAAAGGTGAAAACTGGAAACCCTAGTTGGGAAGTGTGTTCCAGAGCTGCCTAACTGGAGTACGATCATCTGAAACAGACCCGAGTCAGCAGCCGCGCTCCTTACCCAGCAACTCGTACAGAGAATTCAGGATGGACTTCCAGGCGGCGCCTGCCTCCCTCCCAGCCACGTCAGCGAAGTGTGCTGCGCTGCTGTACACATGCAGCCTGTCTATGCAGTCCAGCACCAGGCTGATCATTCCCTGTGGGGGAAACATGGCCATCACTACAGGGACCACAGCCGATGGGGAGGCTTCTGTGTTTTGGACTGGAAAATAGTGATGTGGCATCAATACTTTAAAAACTGTCTCTGGGCCCTCCCTGCAGGCGCAGTGGGTTAAAACGCAGCACTGCAAGCTGGCAGCAGCAGCTTCGAGTTCGATCCCCACCAAGGAGGGGGCCCCCAGGGCGCAACAGACCCAGACCCCTCCTGTCACCCCGCTGCCCTCTCAGCAGTGAGCTGTCAGTCTGCCTGTTCTGCTCCCCACTCTGTCTCTGGTGAAGCCTCTCACCCACCGCACCTCTGGCCTGTACCCAGCTCTGTGTGCATTAAAAAAAAAAAAAAAAACTTAAGACAAAAAACGCTGTTGATTAAAACTTTTAAAAGCCTGTCTCAAAACAAGTCTGTTAATTATATATAAAAAAGTAACGTGATTTATGTGAAGGACAGGTAGAAACACAGTGCATGTGAAATGAAATGTTCTTGAAATAAGCCAAATGGCTTTTTAATCCTGGGTGCTGTTCTGAAATAGAAGCAGGAGAACAATATAGAAAGATGTATTTATACCTATACCTGCTGGGGTAAGGCTCGAACTGTGACTCAATCATTAGTGTCATTGTGCAGGTGAAGCAGTCCAGGGCAAAGCACCCCCAAATCTACCACTTGGGCAGCGGGTTATTTTTATCCGAAAGGATGGGCCTCTCCACACCTAAATCTTTGGCATATGGATGATGTCAAGCTAAGGTCGATCAGGGCCTGCCAGCTCAGGGAACCACACAGGTGGGGTGCCAGTGTGAGTGTCAGGACTGGTGCCCTGCGTCGGGAGTTCCGTGGTAGACACCGAAGTCTAGTGGCAGCTCAGGCCAGCTCAGCAGTTAGCCCCATTGTTCTCGATGCTTACTGTCTGTGGAGTGAGGCGTTTGTCAGGGTAGTGGAGAGCCCCATCATTTAAAATTAACCCCCAATACTAGGAAATAAGCTGCAGGAACCCTCCAGGGGCGGTTCCGCATCTCTGCTTCTCTCGACCTAAGGCTGCAGAGATGTCAAATGGAAGACTTTGCAAAGGCAGGAGCAGAGCGAAAGAGTGAGTCTCGGGAGACGCTACCTCTTCCTGGAAGAGGTTCTGCCGGTTCTTCAGCGCCCGCAACCTGTTCTGCTTGTCTTCGTGCTCCAGATGCTCGTCCGGCGGGTGGAAGTAGCCGATCAGGTCCTGCAGACTTAGGCTCACGCTCTCGATGGGCAAGTCTAGTGGCGAAGTCTTGGCCTTTTTGCTGAGCGCGTCAAGACCCCTAAATAGAACAGCAAGCATGTCGCTACGTGGGCGGTTGCCAATGTCACCGTTTTGTTGACTTACTTGTATTATTACTTGTTCTGTTTGGTTTGGTTTGGGGGAAGGAGCTTGACAGGACGATAGGAAAGAAAAACCCATAGGATAGATTTCATCACTCTTCTCTTACAATCACAGAACAAGTCAACTCAACATTGGTAAGGAACTAAAAGCCCTGCAACCAAGGAGATCAAACTCACTTTTGTGGCCGCCACCCCTGGAGATGCGAGTGGACATTCCTTTCAGTCCACCCATAAAGGACAGAGCCAGAAAGTAAACCTCAACGAACTGGGCAGCATTCAGCCTTTAAAGGTTGCTGCCCGATCACATGGCATTAGCTATAGCAGGAAGTTCTCTGGGAGATCCTCACAAAGCTGGACGCTAAATAACTACTGGTCAAAACAGCAGTGGAACTGAAAGGGCAGCACACCCTGGTAACTCCTCTCCCCCCTCCTCCTCTAGCCTACGCCCCCGTTCTTCCACGCAAGAATAAATAAAAAAAAAAAAAACTGGGGTGTCACTAAAGATAGAAATCTCCAGAAGAAAGGCCTCAAGTCAATGATGTCAACCTTCACCTTAGGAAATTAGGAAAGAAGAACAAATTAAAACTAAGACATGAAGAAGAAAAGAAATAAAGTCGGGAGCTGGATAATCTTTTTATAATAAACTGTGGATTCTGTAGCCATTGCATTTTTATCAGGACTGGTATGAGGAATAGAGTATCTCAAGGAACCCAACGACAAACTGAATTTCAGTCCGAAGTAGCAAATATATACACAGAGAGCACTTTTGCCACAGGCCTGAAGTCTCCTGCCTGGGTCCCCAGTCAGTTCAACGATTATTAGATTCTAAAATTAACTGTCCAAATCAGAGATGCTTTAACAAAGGAGCCGAGTACCGGCCTGAGTACAGAGCAAACACCGCACAGAGGTCACCTCCAAGGAGAACTCCAGAGTGTCGGGCCACACAGCAAGTGTCAGCTGCCCACAGTATCAAGACCCCGAGTGGGACAGCAAGCCCGCGCACTCAGGCCTTTCTGAGGCAAGGTCCTCTTTCTCATTATTGGAAAAAGGTGAGTCATTGCTTCCAGTGGAATCTCACAGAGCCCTCAGAACACTGACGCTACATTATCATTGAAAAGAACTGTCCTCACAGCTAAAGGAATCAGCACTGCTGGATACAACTACATTTCTATGAGCATGTTAGAGATTCATGATGACTTTTTTCTATCCTTATGGAACTGATTGCATAAAAACTAATGTAAGAAGAAAAGTTAGCAAAAAAACTAATGTAAAGAAGAAAATGAAAAATGCTAAGTTGAAGTGACTAAAATGTTGTAGTCTCCAATCAGCCCTGCCTGATATCACTAACTTTATACTGCATTAAAATGTAAGAAAATTTATTTATTACTAAAATGAGTATTGTATATCGACATCACAGTAAGTACAAGTACTACTTAATACAGAAAAGACTTCAAAATATTTGACTCCTAACCCATCTGATAACAGTTAGTTTAGATGATAAAAAGAGGTAAATCTGAAAATAAAATGAAACTGATTTTGTACACATTCTTTGGTTTTATAAACTATGTGCTACATGGATGGTTTATTAAAAAAAAAAAAAACCCGGAATAAGTAAACATTTATATAATATGAAGGTATTTTACAGTACCAAATCAGGATTTATCAAGTAAAATACTGTAAAAATTTTTTTCAACATTCTTTCCCAAACCAACACATTGGGAAGCCATTTGTAATTCATGTGTGATAAAAGGAAACTAAGATCGCTGACATAATAAAAGTTCATAAAAGCCTAAGAGGATCTTAATGAGAAACACTGTCGAGAAGGAAACCACATAAACTGTCAAACAGCCGAAGCAACAAAAGAAAATGCACCTTATAAATCTATTGAAGAGGAAGACGGTGCTTCGGATGACACGAGCCGTGCGTGACTCTTCGTGCTGAGACCTAGACAAATTCAGGCCGTCATCCATGTGGCCCTCGTGATGCATGATCGCCTGGAAGACAGCAGAGTGAGGCCGTTACCCCCGGACTTCTGTTTTTCCCAGAGTTAAAAAGATGCACATTCGGGGCCTCCCTGGTGGCGCAGCAGGTTAAAGCGCAGTACTATGAAGCCGCTGCAGCACGAGTTCGATCCCTGGCCAGGGAGCTGACCCACAGGGCATGGCAGACCTCTCCTGTCCCCCCGCTGCTCCCCTCAGCAGTGTGCTTCAGTCCATCTGCCTGTTCTGCTCCCCGCTGTCTCTGAGGAGTCCTCTCACCACCACCCCCACCTCTGGCCTGTGCCCAGTTCTGTGTGCATAAATAAATATTTTTAAAAGATGCATATTTGAAAAAGGTGAGGCGTTACAATACAGAGACTCAGGGCAGGCGCAGGGGCTGTAAACCGTTGTGGACTGTCGCGCACAAGGGAAATAAGTGACAGGCCACTGTGCTGAGGAAGGGACGAGCACACATGGACACAACTAAGCCCATCGCCTCAGGGGCAGATTCCGCCTCAGGCCTGCCCAGAGTAAGAACAGGCCACACTAAACAGCACAATGGCCGCGAGCACTTATGCTGGAGTGAGCCCATGTCGTACTGTGAACCTGGTGGACACAAACATGTCTGCCGCATGACATTCCTTCCCAAGGTCTCACATCCGCAGAAAGAGCAGCTGCCTTGGTATGACTCTACGCACTGTGACACTTTGGGGTTTCGGTGTAAAACCAGGAAATACAAACAATGTAAACCCAGCTCTATGCACAGGGGGGAAGAGAGAGACAGAGCAGGAAAGACTGAGAGAGAGAAAGAGGGAGAGAGAGAGCGGGAATACACACAACAGAGAAATTCACTCGTGACGCTTGAGAACAAACGAGGCTGTGAGGTAAAGGCGAGAGAGGCCGAACGCTAAGGTCACCTCTAAACAGAAGCGCTGGCCGATGGGCTGGGGCTGGGTAGCGGGGCGTACGGCCATTTCTAAAGGAAGGAAACGCCGGCATGTTGCGAAACCAGGGGATGGCTGGAGACCAGCCAGAGGGTAGGGCCGTGGGGCAGGAGCTGGTGAGGCGCGGCAGGAAGGCAGCGCGTTGTTATCAAAAAGTGCCCCCGCTCCTTTGTGAGTGAGAGGGGAGAGAGAGGCCTGCAGGCTGGGGCGCAAGTGCACACCCCATCCAAGGGCAAGTTCTGCACCAGCGTGGGCCACAAAGAGCGCTAGCGGGCCAGGCGCGCATGGAGAAGAGAACACGTCTCTGCCAAGCACTGCAGCGGCACTCTGGCGTTCGGCAGTGTCCGCCCGCAAACGCGTCTCTTCCCAAAGCCAGTGCTGAGAAGGGAGGCTCAGCGTGCAAATAAGGAGCTGTACTGGACACTTCTCTGAATGCAATGTTGGCTACCTCGCTTGTCTTACTTTTCTGGTTTTTAATCATCAGATGATGGCTGCTCTACATAGCGGTTTTTTGGTTTTGTTTTTTTTTAAAGATTTATCTATTTATGCACTCAAGAACTGGGGTGCCGGGGCTGAGAGGATTCACCAGAGCCAGAGTGGGGAGCAGCACCGGCGGACTGAGGAAACACACTGCTAAAGGGAGCAGCGGGCAGGTCGGGAGAGGTCTGCTGCGCCCTGTGGGTCACTCCGTGGTCGGGGAGCGAACTGGTGCTGCAGCAGCTGGGGCAGCCTCACAGGACTGTGCCCCCAAGGAGGCTAGGGAGGTTTCCCCAACGGTGTGTCCACATAACCTACCTTGCGCTGGATGGATCCCATCCGCACGGACTTCACATCCACGGACTGGTACGTGAGCCACAGACCCGTGTTCACGTGTTGGATGTAACACACCGAGTCCCCATATTTTATTTCGGACGTGCCCATGCCATCGACTTCTTTTCGCACCCCCACATCCAATTTTTCCTAAGGAGAAATAATGAGCACATAGGCAAGGCTTTTAAAAGATTTTTGGCTTCAAAAGAAATTTACCTTGTTATACACACGTTCCTTGAAAAAGTCGGCCCTCTTTGGTCCCCTGAAATTATATTAGTCAGATACACTAGTTTCTACTGAAAAAAAGAAATTGCAAAACATAAATAACATATTCTTCGCTCATATTAATGGCAAATTATTTTGGCTATGACACATGATTTTATATTGTTTAATAGCAAACTCCAAACAAGAAATACTTCACATGAGAAGTTTAAGCTTCACTTTCACTCCAGATTATTTTTTTTTTCATTATTGTTAGTTAAGAATATAAATCTAGATGAGCCCTCCCTGCTGGGGCAGTGGGTTAAAACACTGTACTAAGAATCAAAAGTTTCTTTCGGTTTGGTTTGGATCCCCGCCTATCCCAGAGGAGATCCACATGGCATGGCAGACCTCTCCTGACCCGCCCGCTGCTCCCCTCAGCAGTGTACTTCGTCAGTCGGCCTGTTCTGCTCCCCACTCTGTCTCTGGTGAAGCCTTTCACCCTCCGTATCTCTGGCCTGTACCCCAGTTCTGTATGAATAAATAAATCTTTTTTAAAAAAGAATATAAATCTAGAACACAAAGAATTCACTTTTAAACCTAACATCTTTGAACAAACCAGTGAAGTCTCAGTTTACTTATATGCAAATATAGCTAACAAGAAAATTTCTCCCCAAAATCAGAAAAAATAAGATGATGTAGGTAAAGCTTTCAGCACAGAATACCTGTGATAAAATAAATACTGTGATAATTTAACTTTTAACCATGAAAATTGTGTTTCTATGGGTGATGACGATGCTAAGGATGTAAAGGATGATGTGTCGTGAACTTACAGAGGTTGAAATGCTGTTTCCAGTTCTGTGTTTGCAGCTTGGACTACAGTCCAAACAGTCCTAACAGTCTGCACTGCGCTCCTTGTGATTTTTCTGAAGCAGCAATTGGCCTTCCAAGAGCAACTATTTACTCTAATGCCCTATTTATTTCAAACCTTCCGACATCATGTTCCTTCTCCATTCTTACTCTCATTCTCAGTTCTGATACTTAGGAACTTACAATGTCTTCAAGTTCTGAATCTCCCTTAAAATAGCAGAGGAAAAAAGCACAACTAATGTTTCTTTGGTGGTAGTACATCCCTTTGGTAATTTCTTGCTCTTCTCCTTGATCCAACTTTCCTTGTCAAATTTTTCTTCTAACCTTTGTTATTAGACTTTTTTTTTTACTTACTTATGCATACAAGAACTGCATACAAGAACAGGCCAGAGTTGTGTGGGGTGATAGGATTCACCAGAGAAAGAGTGGGGAGCAGAACAGACAGACCTACTGAAATGCACTGCTGAAGGGAGCAGAGGGCAAGACAGGAGAGGTCTACTGCACCCTGGGGTCCCTCCCTGGCTGGGGATCGAACCCGTGCTGCAGTGGCTGCGGACAGTTTCATAGTGCTGCACTTTAACCCATTGTGCCACCAAGGAGCGCCTTCATTTGACTTTTGTTTAATGTTTTGAAAGTTTAGGTTGAAGTAAAACTTATGTATGTTATGCAAGCAGAAATAATTCAAGTAAAATGTAATTTGGATATATTTTTTTTCATTTATACATTGCACTAATAATAGCAACGAACTGATTATGAATACTCCATGAATGGAAGAAAATTAAAAGTAAAATAAGTTGAAATTTCTAACACAAAAAGGTTACAGTCATATAAGAAAATGGACAATTCTGAATTGAGTTGAATTAACCATGTTGCAAATTACTTAAAACACTAGCTTAAGGATTTGCAAAAAAGTAGATAAATGCTGATCTCATTTTATCATAGAAAAACTACTCATCTATTATTCCAACCCTATGACTTGGAAAACTAACTTCTTAGAAAAAATGAAACGATGTTGTTATCTGTTCAGAATGAAACAATAATCCTCTCACATTCTGTTCTTCCTTTTACCAAGGACATGAGTATGTGCTCTACTGGTAGGACTTGGGATTGTTTTAGAAGTTGCAACGCTATAAAGTTATGTTTTGTTTGCCTTTAACTGAAGTGCTTCACAACAATCTCTAGATGAGAAGTTTTAACTGTGAAACTTCATGATGACAATGGCAGTAATTACTCTGACCCTCAAGTCGGGTAAGGCCTGCTGAAGTGGCATTGGGGGGAAAGGCACAATTATCTGAGTATGAAACAACAAAGTCCATGCATGCTCTTGTCTTCAATTTCCTATCATTTCTGGCATTTAAGTTTCCAACAAATTCGGTGAAAATAACCCAGGTACTTTGACCAGCCATCAAGACAGGCATAACGTGAATGGAGAATATGACAGCTGATGGAAGCATCTACCAAACCCAGAAGTCTCGCCTGTGCTGCTGGAATGGAGTGCGGGCAAGTAACAGTCTCAGCAAAACTGCACTAGCTGCGATGTACTTCCGCGAGCGGCCTCCCGTCACCTTGCAGATTTTTTTAGATGATTGATTGCTGCAGTGGGGATGATGGAGTGATAGAGCTGACGACTCCTCTCACAGAGAACCAGCAAAGAATTTGGAAAAGGTCCTTTTCAGAATCTATCTGAAGGAACATTTGAGAAATCCACGGGGCGGGGGGGGTGGGGGGCCTGAGGAGTGGACTTCTCTCTGACGATGAGCAGCACCCAGGCAATCTGATCAAGCATTCTCTTGCTGGGGGTACCCCGCTCAGTCAGCCTGTCGCTCAGGCACACAAGAGCCGAGCCTTACTGATTTTAGGTAGCAGAGGACACCGTTTAGGAATTGTAAGAAGCCCTGGACCAAAGCAGTATTCACAAAATGTGCTTATTGGCTGAATTCCCTTCTTTTGACTCAAATTCCGATCGACCGCCAACCGCAAACGCTCAGGGGAGGCCCTGATATTACATCACAGAGGGGTTCACTAGCTGATCAGTGCTGTGAGCAGCTGCCCCTGCAAAAGAGAGAGAAAAGTGGAATTTCTGTCTGGAAAAGTCACACACTCAGAGCCGTGGTTCATACTGGCTCTGCTTTGGGGCTGACTTCGGGTGACAGACCTCCTCAAGCACAGAATGTTTTTGTGTGCCGACCTCGTGCTGCTGCCATTATAAGGATCAGCACGAAAGCTGAAACCAAATAAGGCATCGGGGGAAAAAGTAACTATCGTAAGTGAAAGTCAAACTCATCAGGCAGCCACAGAGCAGAGACATTCTGTAAGGGGAAGGGAAAAAGGCCAGGGGGCGGTGGGGAAGAGCACAGGGACTACAGTGGTGTGTCCAGGGGAGGGTGGTGGGGATTTCAGGGGGAAACCGTACAGTGCACAAAAATGAAGAATGTAATGGATATATATAAATGTAATGGATATATTTTAAAAATAAAAAAAATTAAAAACTGAAACCTACTTTCTATATCATCTGTAAAACTGTAGTTGACATTATTTTCTATCATGCTATCAGCAAGCCTTGAGCAAGGGTTACTGTATTTTGAGTTTAATCTTTATTAAATATAGCATTCATGGGCCCTCCCTGGTGGTGCAGCGGGTTAAAGCGCAGCACTAAGAAGCTAAAAGCCACTCAGCATGAGTTCGATCCCCACCCCGGAGGTGACCCATGGCACGGCAGACCTCTCCTGACCCACCCACTGCTCCCCTCAGCAGTAAACCTCAACAGTCGGACTATTCTGCTCCCCGCTCTGTCTCTGGGGAATCCTCTCACTGCCCCTGCACCTCTGGCCTGTACCCCAGTTCTGTGTGCATAAATAAATAAATCTTAAAAAAAAAAAAAGTAGAGCATTCATCTCCACTGGTGACTTACTGTAACTATTTTGAAAATGAAACCACTGTAAGTTTTCCATTTTATTTTTCTGATATTTAATCAATCAGAGAATAACTGTAATAGATGAATATATGTGACAATATATAAATAAACAATTATTTTAGTAAAAAGGGCACTAGTTTTACTATTTGCATTCAAACTCTGGTCTGGCATCTAATGCATCTAAGCCTCGGTTTCCTCATCTGCAAAATGAAGATTAAAAATAATATCTCAGCTTCCTAGGGCTGAAATTTGATGAAAGGAAATAATGAATATACGATGCTCAGCATATATGTTACTGTTACTCTCCTCTGTTTATTATAAAACATCTTATATAGTATCTGAGCCAAGACTTAAAATCCCAAATAAAAATAACATACTAAAAATTATGTTTTCAAAATGTATTCTGTTGCTGCCAGCTGTTCCACACCCTTGTGACCTCACTGGCAATCTTATTTGAGGTTGGCATTCCAACAATGCAGTAGCAAACGGTTTCTGCTCATGGTGCATGGGAGAAAGAAAACTGGCAGAAAGTACCCACAGGAATATTTTACTGGCATTTTAAGCTGAAAAATAATTACATCGTGGGGGGAGTAGAATACTGAGGTGGTTGGCAAGACCTATCTTATTATTAAAACTGACATTTCGATATACTGAAAATAAAAGTGATGGTAAAAAAAACCTGAGTAGAGAAAGTGAAGAATAGGTCTAAGAACACCAACAAGTCAAATTGAAATCTCCATTATATAAAAATTTTTCCTTAAAAAAAACCCAACAATTATTTTGCATTATATACATGTATCAAAAAGCACTGCATACGTTTAATGTACACAATGTTATAAGTCAGTTACATCTCAATAAAGCTGGAGGAAAAATGGAAGAGATCTGCTACATTATAAACTATTTTCTACTATATTCAGTTTATTCTGAATACAGTAATCAACAGTTTTGATTCTTTGCTAAATCCTCAATTTGAAAGTGGCTGTTGAGTATTTACATCAATACCAAAGGAATCTCAAGGACAAGGGAAAGTCTGGAATTAATAAAACAAGCCTTTAAAGTCATCTTCATTCGCTTAGTATAAATGGTATTCTGATCTGTAGATTTTTCAAGAATGTACTAATACTTCCAAAGGTCTCCACAATGATAAGCAAGGCCAAGCTAAGATAAATGCTCATGAGATGGGTCATTTCAGAATTTCTAAAACTTACACCTAAGCACAAGATGTTGGTATTTTTATCTGACCTAGGAAAGCATAATTTTTCATCAGTGAAAACTTGATTTGTAAGGTATTAATTATGTTAATTATGTCAATAGTAATTTACAAAAGACATAGGAAACATATATGAGGGATCAAGAAAATATATTACATAAAGAAAACCCTCTGCCTTTCAAAATTTATACACTTACTATATAAAAGAAAATATTAAAAAATATATACTTTCCTTTAAGCAGGAATTCTACTTTTGTTTTATTTGGCTTCATGTTCAATACTATGTTATTATATAATTCTAGGACACCTTTATCACGAATGGGTTTTAATTGTATCTGGTTGCATCCTCCAATAAAAAACAGGTCTATATTTTGAATGTCCCAATGACTTCTTTTTTCACAACAAACCTGCCTGTATGTATTTATTTTCAGACATGTATTTCTGTGCTACATCATTTTTCTTGAGAGAGCAGTTGATAGTCACGTATTTTCAACAAAACTTATATATCAAATTGTGGTATGTTAACCCCAACAAGTTTTTTAAGAACTTATAATTACACTAATTGTTTTTTTAGAATCATGGACAACTTGCATTAAAGAAAAAAAAATTCTACCAAACAAAACTAGTTAAAGTATTACATACTAATCATAAGCCTTCTTTTGTCTAAGATGTCACACACAGTTTTAGGGTGTTTTCATTTCAATCACAGTTATATTTAACTTAGAGTTATTGGATATCTACAAACTTCTGAAAAATCACAAATTTTCACACCAAAAAATTCTATTCCATTCCAAAAATAACTGAACTATTCAAAATACAGTACAACGAGTACTGTGTATTCTAAAAGAACAGTGTGGCCAGAAGCATTCAAGATTACTATCACTGTTCCATGAAAGGTACGCCCCAAAAGTCACTATTCTGTTTTTTTAAGTTTTGTTGTTTTTTTTTTTTTTTTTTTTTGGTGTGTGTGTGCGTGTGTGTGTGTGTATACAAGAACTGGAGTAGAGGCCAGCCGTTCGGGGGGGAGGGGGGGTTGAGAGGATCCTCAGAGACAGAGTGGGGAGCAGAACAAAACAGGCAGATCTACTGAAACACACTGCTGAGGGGCCCAGCGAGGAGACAGGAGGGGTCTGCTGTGCCCCGGGGGTCCCTCCCTGGCTGGGGACTGAACTGGCCCTGCAGTGGCTGCGGACAGCTTATGGTGTTGTGTTTTAACCCTTTATGCCACCACAGAGGACTCACCATTCTACTTCTGACTAGCAGAATGGATTCTGAATGAACAGCTATAGCCATTATTTCTTGTAAGTCAGACATTGTGAGCAAGGATCGCTTTAGAAGTCTTTTTACCCAGAACAACCTAGTTAGAAGATGCTAACCATGATAGGAAGTTTACAGGGGAGTTTCAAAGAATTTGGGTGAGAAACCTTCACCTTCCAAGAGAAAAGAGAGTCAGGAGAAGCAAGTCTCTAGATGATTTCAACTCACTGAAAAATAAGCAATGTCTTTCCACCCCAAATGTGTCTAGCTTAGTTATATGGTCAATGTGAACGCCCATGATCTGGGGCCCTGGGTCTACTGCTACCTGGGTCTACTTTGGTACTTATGAGTTAGGATCAGGAGCTTGTCTAAGTCCTTGGGGAGGACACATGCACATGTGCTTGGATACACAAAGTACTTTCTGTCGCCGGAAATGCAGTCTGCATTACTCTGTGACCATCATGCGCTGACAGAGAAGCCAAAAGCTGCTGCTCTTGGAGACAAAGCAGAGAGCAGAGCAGTTTGGTCACTTCCCTGGCTAGTAAAAGTCACTGCATTCAGGCAAAAATAGAGAAATGATTCCAAAACTGCTCACTCTTGGAACAGTTTCCCTATTACGAGCATACAACAAACACTACAATGTGCCTAAAATTCTGCAGGTTTTGCACAAAGAAATTAACTTAAAACTTATAGAACATAAAAAGATATCACTGATGTATGACAAAAGTAGCAAGGATTTTTTTTTAATTCCCTGCTGATGAGTCACTCTGAAGCGAAACTCTCACAGCCGTTGCCCACATGCACACTGGCACTTGCTCCCAAAGGTTATCTGGCTGCACACGTCCAGTCACCAGGACATGACCAGAGTCCACTGGGCCACAGGCACCATGCTCTGGTGTGCGAAACCCTCGGAGCACTTTCCAGCCAGAAACGTTGACAGCTCTCCTCTGCTTTAGCCAAACAGTTCAACGCTCCGAAGAGAAGCGGCAATCAATATGCAGAAACACTTAGAAAAAGTGTTTCATTTACAACATGGAAAATGAAATAAGGGCCATAAAGAGGTAACTGAGTAAGAACGGGTTCTCTCTATAGAAAGTGGCATCATCGTTACGATTGTATAAGGCGATATAGGAATGTGAAAAGGGAAATGGGACATAATGTGTATAGGATGAGCGCGATTCAACAGTAAGTAATGTATTTGCTAGAGCTGCGTCTCTTATCCAAATTCAGTCGGGGGCGCAGTCAAGGTGGTTTGCTGTAGACCAGAGCTGTTTCTTACTGACGCCTGGCGCATGATTAAAAGTTTTCCTTTACCACACTTTCGTATCAACTTTAAAATTTCCTATAATGACTACTCAATATATCATTTAAAAAGTAATTTTAGAAAAAAAATAATGAAGACCTACCTTCTCTACCTTGGAGGAAAAAACTGTCCCTAATCTGCCAGGGATTGAAATTACAATTCTGATGTGATTTTAAAAATAAAACGGTGTTCTTGTACTCACCTCCCTCTTCACTACCTCCAACCATGTTATCACGCGCGACCACCACTGTGAACTAAACAGCGGAGCGTATGGCATCACGTGAGTAACAACCTTCATGCAGGAATGGCTCCCGAGAGGAGCGCCAGGGTAAGGCAGAGGGGGCCGGGCTGTGTTAAGGGGTGGCCCGGGAGCTCTCGATCCCTCCATTTCAGAGGAAACTGGTTCTTACACAATGGCCAAACCCAGACACAGAAAATCTGAGTAGAGTTTAAAGAAAAAATGTTCGTGTCTGTGAAAATTCCTTAAGAACGTTCACTCTACCTTGACAGAATATCAGTATCAGCAGAGATTTGGAGAAAAATGCATTCAAAAGTTGCACTTTGGGTCACACGTTTTGTTAACGCTTTTAAAAGCAGGCATTCCTCTTGGGTCAGGGTTCCCATTCGTAGGAATTCATCCTAAAGGAAGGCCTTCATAAAAGTGCACAAAACTCCCAGGGACAACGCCTCTGACCCAGGGATGAGCCAAGCAGAAGCATAAATGCACATGCCGGGCTGGCAGACGTCACCAGCATCACAGCGTCCACCGAGCTGGACACTGGCGAAGACTGAGACAACAAACGGAGTTGGAGTTGCATGTAAGTAACCAAAGAAATACGGACATGGTGAACCACCGTGGTTCGGGAAGCACGTTCTGCTGGAGTGGAACGGATGAAAAAGAATCTGTCTTGCATTTCTACCATGAAGGAAGTGCAGCGGAGTCAGACTTATAACAAATCCAGAAGCTGCTTTCAGTCTTACCTTGGAAGATCGAAAAGTGAATGCTGTTGATTTCACATCCGCTTTCTCTTTGTCCATGAGCAGGAGGTTTTTGTCTTCCAGGAGACTCAGGTATCTCCCTGTCGTGACGTGGCGAAGCCGGAAAGGCTGGCCCCAGCGGATGTGGCCCCCGCTCCACCTAGCGGACAGTGAAGACTTGACCCCGCCACACCGACCCTCGCGGGCGGAGGTGTGTGGCAGTGAACAAAGGCAACCCCCCCCCCCCGCTCTTTCAGTGAGCGTCCCCAAACCCTCACAGTGTTGGAGATACGAATTCCCGGAACACTACTGTTCTTCAGAATAATTAAGCAATGTCTGATATTACTCAGCTCGAGGTAATGCAAGTGAATTTAGCTAGGACCTTACGTGTCCCAGCATCCCCAAAGAACACAAAGAACTTGTGTCCCAAGCTAATATTTAATCACTAATCACAGATATACAAAGTCCGGTTTAGATACTTTGTGATTTACTACTTACAAATTTTGATGAATTTGCACACACGAGAAAGATAGTGTATTATACTCCTTACTAATTATGATTCATCACAACTCATATATATCAACTGGAGTATATATTTCCCTGGAAAACAAACTACTCCTACGCTTTCTTTTTTAATATTGTGGAACAATGACATCATTAAAAAACATATGGGGGAGAAAAAGAGAAATCAGAATCTAGAAGGTAAAGAGGAAAAGGAAAAAATAAAATAAAATATAAGAAACAAGAAAATATAAACCAAGATTGTAGAAAAATGGTAAAAAGTAGAGCTATTTTTTATTGAAAGCTATTTTTTCCGATTAGCATACCAATATAAATTTGATAAAACTAGTATTTACTCAAAATCAGGAATCCTCAGGATGTTTCTTAAGTTCTTGAGCGAACCATGATGTGCATATAGAAACAAAACGTAAACAAATGCACCGACACCAAACTACAAGGCTTCCTCCCAGGAAAAGAAACTCTCAGTTAAATGAAAAGGCACCCATTTGATGGAGGAAGTATTTGCTCATCATAGATCTGACCAAGGTCTGACATCCAGCGCATAGAAAGAAGTCATGCAACTCAACAAAAAGCAAACACATAATCCGATCAAGATAGAGAGTAAAAGACACTTCTCCAGAGAGGACAGGCATAGGCACCTGAGACATTGCTCACTGCCGCCGACTTGAGGGGAAAAAAAGTGAATATTAAAGAGCTATACTGAAATCAACTGGATATCTGAAAGCGTGGTATATACCACACTAGAGTTTACATTTTTTGTATCGAATTAAAATGATCATGAGAAACTCCCTATCTCAAACTTAGCATGTTCAAGGATGTACAAAGATTTTCAAAGTGACTGTGAGGGATATATAAGCAAAAACAACTAATGACTTATTAAGTAAGCATGGATCTCAAAATACAAGGTTTATAAATATAGCTTAGTAAGTCTCCCACTCCCATCCATGCAGATTATAATCCTCAATCAGTACTTTCTTTAAAGTGCAATAAAATGGGGAACAAATACACTGAAAACCCAATGCTTTACAGGGAAAGAACTAAACCCCTAGTCTATAAAAAACAATCAATATAAATTCTTATTACCATAATGTATGCCCCGTGACTTTTTGTGCTCAGTCATGAAGCTATTTACAAGCAGAGATAGTAACAACCAGTAATGATGCCTCTTGCTCATGTTCAAGTTTTCTGAGCTTTACATGTACTTTACAAGGTCAAAGGCAGAGTCTGTCAGGCCTGACATGTGTGACAGATTTGCCCACAATCTGTCTCCAAAGCCTCCATCTCTCTGTCCTGGCTCCACTTCCTGCCAGGAGATGCACAGACTGGGGTAAGATAAAATCACAAACAAACGAGGCTAAAGACAAAAGCAGGCTGCATGAAATCATTGCCTACACCCTGGTTTGCCAGCTGGTGCACCTGGCTAATGAAAGCTAAATGAAGGCAGGCAGAAAGGGAAAGAGGAGAAACCCCCACTTTCTGTGTTGAACCTGCTTGTTTACCACAGCTGTGGGCATAACCATTTCACAGAAGCGCGAGTCGAGGCACTGGAGGAGTGTTGAGCACTAGAGGCACTAGCTGTCCTGAGAAGTCATACTTACGCAACTCTCAGAGTCTCCAGCCTCCACAGGGAGCGCGCGTGAACAGACACAGCACCGCCTTCATAGTGAACAGTTCTGTCAAGGACAACAAGTGCAACTGTAACGTGTTTCATTCTTTTTTCAAGTCCACTCATCAGGGGAGGGGCAGGCAGAGGGATCAAAACAGAGGGGGGAATGTGTTCTTCCAGCGGGACCATGGTGATGGCGCAGGGTGACTCGGTGCGGGAAGTTCGCAGGTTCTGCACCTGAGAAAGCACGCCTTGTCCGAAAAGGAGTAACGATGTAAAATATGTATAACTAAATTAATTAAAAAGCATAGCCGCTCATCATTCCCTCCTATTCCCATTCATTTCCTCTCCCCCTTCTCTCTGACCGCCCCCCAATTCCTGAACACATGAATACATCACATCCCCTAACTCCATCAACGTAAGTGCATGAAAGTACTCAGTTATGTGTTTGTCACTAAATTCATTACCATTATTCCTATACTTGTATACATTTACTTGCAGTTCAAAATTTGGTTTCAGAAATTTAACATAATTGAAATAAGTGAGAACATAAATGTTATGTTTTAACATAACAATCCGTAAATTGATAAAAGATGGAAACAGGATAAACATCACAAAAATATATAAGCATCAACACAAAGGTGCTACTAAGTCAGTGAGAGACATTCTCCACGAGGACTTCTGTGCCAATTCCCAGAAATAAAACGAAACAAACGTCACACACACACATCACCTCTCTGCAGTAATCACCGTCGCCCTCTCTAGTGGGTTTTTTTCATCATTTGTACGCACAATGCCCTGCCCTGTCTCAAACACAGCCTGGCCCACATTTTCCTCTCCTGCTGCTCCTGTCTCCTGCCCCATATCACCCCTGGAGTTCTCACTGCCCTCAGGTCGGCTTGCAGACTCCCTTCTCCCCTGAGTGCTTTTGTCAAAGCCATCATGGCTGCCATGTTCCCAGCAGCATTTACTTCTTGACTCTATGGAAACCCCTCGCATCCTGACAGCTTCCTAACACCATCCCCTGCTGCTCTTCCTCTCACTTCTTAAATATCCCTCCTCATTCTATTCATACCGTGAAACTTTCAAATACGCACAGAGTAGGAAATGCAACAATGCACACACAACTCCTGCAAACCATCTCAACAACGATCGATGCGGGGAGCCCTTGCCGATAGTGGCTGTCCTGAGCATCTGTGATGTTACTGGAGTTAGTAGTAGTGTTGCTAATACACTGAGCGAAGGACCACAGCAGCCAGTCTCCCCACACCTTAGGAGGAACAATAAAAAATGTGACATCACCCAACAGCTTCTGGGAGACGAAATCACTCTCCGTGTGGCAGGAACTGCATAGAGACTACAGCGAGATGAAAAAGCACGCACTGCACAAAAATGAAAAATGATGCTAAAAATATGTATATATAATAACAACAAATTAAAAATTTTTAAAAATCAGATGAAAATCCAATTTTGGATATATAATTTACAATTGTCTACCCCATCTATCTTGCCTTTCATCCTCTTCACATGGAATTTCACAGAAGCTTCACTTTTTTTTTTCCATGTCATCAACATTTTCCTTTTATAAACAGATTTTTGGTGTCATATCTTAAGACTCTATACTCTCAAGATTTTTTCCTAAAAGTTTTTACACTTTATGTTTATGATTCATTTTGAATTAGTTCTTCATAGCACATGGGATTTAGGTCTAGACTTAATTTTGTCACCACGGAGTGTCCACTTATTCCATGTGAATATCTTCTTAAATCTGAGGAAAATCCCTTCTTTTGTTTTTCTGTCAGAAGTAATTTCTATCTCTTTTCTAACCAAGACACTAACCATAGCAACCTCTTTGGATATACTTGCATAAAAGTCAGTAAGGAAGGTGCCAGAGAAAACTATAGTATATCTGCCAAGTCTAATACCTGCCTTGCTAACTAATTCAGTTGTGGGAAATGATAGTAAAAATGCTGGGAAAAAACATAAAATAACATCACAAAAGTTATCGAAAAGCAAGGTTACATGTTAGCAAGTATATGAATTTTCTAGAATACCTATAACATGCATTAGATTATCAGAGATGTCCACAATAGCTTGGATTTGTTTTAAACTTGCTGTCTTGAAAGTTTAGATACCTGTTATCAGAACACAAACTCTTCCCCTTTGGAGTAACTTGAATCCAAGGTGATGCTGATATTGAAAGCTCTTAGCTAAGCACATAGAACTCGTGGCTTCAAAATAGTTTTTTCTTCATGTGGGTTGCTATGCTGATTTATAAGATGGTTTTTCTTCCCCTTCCAAATTCCAAGCATATAATAATATTCCAAAAAAGAAAAAGTGGGAGACCCTCTGAGTGACCGAGTTAGCTAGCATGACTCTCAAGTAGGTACCCACTGTTCTTCCTAGATAACCTACATCAAGGGCATGACTTTCCCCTCCACTGATTTCTCTCATAAATATAAAATAGTAGGCATTTGTCTGCAGGTTTCTGTATACATGCCACTATTTAAAAGAATGCAAGACTGAATGACACTGTCTGGTCTGAAAGCTAAATAGAGATAAGCATAGGTTCCAAAAGATAATATATGACAAAGTGAAGAGTGCCATTTCCCCGGGCCAGTCAAAGACAGCCCTATGCTAACTAGTCCTCATACAAATCAAGTTTGGTGTTGAAATATTAACAGGCTGTAGACAGTGAAAATGCATCTTCTGGAAAATAATTAGGGTCACAGAAAAACTAGCCATGCAATGTCCACTCGGGTGATTCACGTCAATTAACTAGAAAAGAACCCTGCTAGTGCAACAGGTTAGAGAGTAGCACCGTGATGCTGTCCGCAGCCACTGCAGCGCGAGTTCGATTCCCCATCAGGGAGTGGCCCACAGGGCACAGCAGATCTCTCCTGCCTCCCCGCTGCTCCCTCAGCAGCGACTAATGTATTTCAGTCAATCCACCTATTCTGCTCCCCACTCTCTCTGGTGACTCCTCCCACCTCCTGCACCTCTGGCCTGTACCCCAGTTCTTGTGTGCATAAATAAATACATCTTTTAAAAAGAGCTCTTAGAGGCTGATGAAGATAGCACCTCAAGATCAAAGGTCAACAAGAGATTCCTGCCTTTCCTTCTCAAGGAAGTAGATTACGAAAGATATTTTCCATAATGCAATTTTTTTAAAGCATGAGACTGGGTTTTCCCAGATCAGCGTCCCCTTTCTCCTAAACAGAGTGTTGCTGAAATCATAATAGACCGGGTCCCTTAAAGACAGAGGCAGATGCTCATCTTCTATGCTCCACACACATCAGAAAGCCTACACCACTGACGTCCCTCCAGAAGCAGTAAAGGAATTGTGTTGAAGCGAATGCCATGTAGACCCAGAATTAAAAGGTTAGTTCAGAGTGAAACTGTATTTCCCTTTACACATTCCCACAGTAGAACTTTGCTCTTATAGCAGTTGTCTATGTAAATGTGTGTGAGGATATTTTGCTGAGCAGCCGAGCCCTAGGCGGGTGCTAAAGCAAGCTGTCAGGCGTCTCCTCACAGTGACAGAGAGATCAGCACGGAGACACCTAAATAGCATGGGAAGCAACGTGCCAGGTCCATTCAGCGGCTTCATTGGTGACACTGCATTCGCGTTGCTGCGTTAAGGAAAGCAGGTATGATCTGCATGACACAGCAGTATAAACCACAGACAAGCCCCCGTGGGTTAAGCAATGACATGTTTACCCTCTAAACTAAATTTAAAAAATCAGAACTAAAGGAATCGTGGACATAGGACTGGAGCAGAAAACCGGTGTGGTCTTCTTACTTTTCACCCCAGACAGGATATGACACACCACAAAAGCATTGAAAGCATTTAAAAATTAAGATGAAGAGGAAGCTCTTGTTTTGTTTTGTTTTTCCTGAGAGATACTGCTTACACCTCGATTAAGTTAACAAGCCAAGAGTGAATGATTAAAAATACTTTCAGATACTTTCACTGAAAAAATAACTGGACAATTTCTCCAATTTCTAGTTTTTAATCAGCTGTCTCTTTTTCAAGTCACTCACTTGAAGTATACCAAACTCCTCAATAAGTTTTGCATTTTTACTGAAATCCAATGGCTCAGATTCCTATGAATACTTTTACTGTTTTGCCTTCCAAGTCTGTATTTTCAAAACACACGCTTCTCGCCCAGCCGTTCCCTGGGAGTGTGGTTCTAGAGCAAGTCAGGACGCTACAGGTGAGAACTGGAGCAAACCCACTGTGCCCTTTGCCACCAGCAGGGGTTTTAAGCTTGTGGGAAAGAGGGTCTCTCTCAAGAGAGATGAGCCAATGAAAACAGTTCTCACGTACTGAATCTCCCATCAAAACTGTATAGCAAATATATTCTAGTCCCACTGAAAACAGATGCACGGAACACAAAGAAAAAAATCCTTTTTGTGATAACTGCTTCTCCCATGCCCACTTTAGCTGCATGCTTTATAAACTCTCCCTGGCAGTGACTGAGAACACAAATCCTCATCTGGTCATGTACACAGACATAAACCACGCATCTCATCCTGAGCCAGCCCGAGAGACATTTAATTCTTTGTATCAGCCCATCTCAGGCCTTATCAATTGTGTACAACTAGAGCTCATTAAATCATCATAATATTAAAAGGCAAAGAGAGGCAAAAACATTTCCATGCATACAATTAGCAATGTTGAGTCACATTCTGGAAGGCAAATGTAACAGTTACTTGCAAATGTGATCAGAGACTCTAACTTAATTACCTGCATTTGGAAATCACTCTTGGTCCAGGCCAAGAGTGATGCTTGAGAAGATGGAAACAAACCGCCTCTCCTTCAGCCCATGCCCTGTCCCCCTGGCACCTTGGCCCCCAATACGTACACACGCTGTCCCCCAATACGTACACACATGTACACACAGCGCCCTTTCTGTTTTTCTCCATAGGATTTCTCTCTAGTTGTTACCTAGTGTGTTTTATGTATGCCACGTGGGTATGTGTGATATGCGTGTCCTTTTATAAGCTTCCGGTACTTACCCCGAGAAAAGAGACTTTGATCTTCGTACTACTGTAACTCCTGCACCCAGTCATTTCAGAAATTCTTACTGAATCACTAAAACCACTTCAGAGGTACATGGCAAAACCAGTCTTAGCCGGTAATGCTTCTCAAAAACTGTTGCCCAAATACTGGTTTCCAAACCAGGTCCCAAATACTCCGCCCCTAAATATGGCAACTTAATGCAGTTCATGCGTATGTGCACTGTGCGCCTAGGAAGGAAAGGCAGTTGTAGACAACTCACTGATTACATCAGATTTGAGGAAATAATGCTCTGCATTTAAAATACTCATGTTTGAGTTAAAAACTGCAATTCGCATCTCCAGAAAGAAAGCTTATTTTAAAAAAATAACAATAATTAAGACACTAGGCTGCATCTGACAATCTTCGCCCAGTACCAGACGGTGTTTCACCTGAATTTACCCTAACTTGGTATTAGGACAGTCTGAGTAAGAATTAAGAAAATACATTACTATACCTAATGTTCACTGCATCTCTTCCTTTCATTCAGATGCTGTTTCTATGGTTAATACTTTAAGATTTGTATTGTCACTTAGATAAGTTGGACGCCAGTGACTAGAGCCGCATCTTCCTGGAAAAGAACTCTCACACACCATAGCGATGACAGGCACCAGGATTCAACCTACAGAAGCCCTACAGACGGAAGGGGGATGAACTATCCATTCAGCTTAACCTAAGCAGACTTCATTCTCCAATCCATTTCCACGTAGATGGGCACTATATGCACTGAAGGTTGTGAGAACACACAGAAAACGACACACACCCACGAATCTAAATGCACAAAGGAAGTTAAGGATAACAGCACCAGGATCCAGAATTGGAGACGCCATCACGGCACTGGATTTTCCACTGTGACAATTGTTCTGTGTGTTCAAAACTGTCAATGGAATGAGGCATAAGAAGGCCGACAAATCTACTTACGAACACAGCAATTGCTACCAAAATGTTCGTAATTATTCAAAAGTAGATGTCACCTGGCCATGTCTCTAATCGTTTCCACTACTTCATAGAACAAGCCCAGTTCGCCTTTGGCTAGTTAACTTCCACAACAGGCTACAGTTAATGGGTAGCGCCAGACCATAATCACAGCAAAGAGCTGTGAGGTGAAAGAAATTTTACTTGTTTCCTTGGCTCTTCTCCAGCCTTCAGTCCACTGCCCACTGCGGTTCAGTTATTTTTGCTTCTTTGTTAAAAATGAATCAGAATATATCTTTTAAGTTGCCATCACTTGCTTCTCCTCTCAACAGAGTTTCCTATCAATTATGGAAATGTGGCCTCAGGCCACGCAGCCCTTGTCTACAGTTTGCTCCCAAGGACATCGAAGGGACATGGGGTGAAGACAGAGGGGAAGAAGGAAGAACCCACACTGTGACAGTAACAAGAGTTGAAGTGTCAAAGTACAGAAGCAAAGCTCAAGGACTTGTTTTTATCATTACAGACAAAAAAAGAAAAAAAAATTGCCTGTGCTCATACGCAATTAAGCCAATGACAACTCTCAAACCAAGTCCCTTAGTCTCCTGCTGCCTGAGCTGACTCATCTTCTCCCTCATACCATGACCTGACATCTGTTCTAATCTAATTTCACCCATCCACAGACTGCACACGGGGCACAACGACGTGTTCTTACAGGCCCCACTCATGGTGATGTGCCGGCCTGAATACACATTGATGTCAGCATAACACAAAACCTCATGACTAATGATAGCATGGGGGCATCCCTCAACAGGCGTGCCATCCAAGAGTGGGCCAAGGAACTGTGACATTTCCTCTTGTTTTCTCTGCACTAATAACCAGCTATCTGAAAATGAACAAGGAACCCACCCTACAAGCGCCATGTTCAATACAACAGCTGCAGAATCTCTTTGGCCCAAGAGATGTGGAAAACAGGAGTCATTTGGCAGGGACTGAGCCTGGGAGACCTAGATCTATCGATGACGAATATTCTCCTTTGGAGAAGGAAATGTCCAAACTGAAATAAAAACTGCTCCACCCCTAACTTGTAAACCTTCCTGGCCAGACACCTACTGCATTAATTTTTTTAAAAAGAGGATTTCCTGGCTTTCCCTGGTGGTGCAACGGGGTAAAGCACCATGTTATGAAGCTCTCTGAAGCCACTGCAGCACGAGTTCGGTCCCTGGCCAGGAAGTGACCCACATGGCATGGCAGACCTCTCCTGACCGCCTGCTGCTCCCCTTAGCAGAGTACTTTATCTGCCTGTTCTGCTCCCCACTCTGTCTCTGGGGAGGCCTCTCACCCACCGCACCTTTGGCTATACCCCAGTTCTGTAAGCATAAATAAATAAATCTTTCAAAAACAAAAAAATATATAAATAGGTATTAAACAATAATTACCTAAACCTATGTTAATGAGAAACTTCCACTGGACAACGTACAGATGCATAACAAATCATCCAAACAATGTATTCGCCTCCCTTACTATAATTGCTTATTTAAGTATTTAATCGACTGTATTCATATTTTACTCATTATCTGGGGAGGAAAAAGTAGCACTTTCACCCTAAAATGGTTGGTGACTCTGTATGACTTATGCACTTTTCCAAGCAGGTCCAGACCACTTCAGCCACAGCACAGTGTGACAACATTCACACAAGGCAGGTGTTAGAATCACATAAGCCATTCGAAAACATGGTCCAATTTACCTCTATGTCAGTGTACGGAAGGTCACAGAAAAAGGTCTTAAAATTTTGTGTGATTTAAGAACTTTGACTTTACTCCTGATTTGCAATGAAGATGCATAAAGAGAATGATCAAAATAATGAACAGTTAATGGGCTTTTAAGTCGTTCAGTTTAATGTGCTCACAACGCCCGCTCTGTTTATTCTGTTCACTGCTAATCACCCTATTTTAATAACACAAAAGTGCTTAGCTCCTCTTTGACAGGTCATGAAAGAAGAGCATGAAAAAACCTCTAAGGAGGTCAACAAACAGATCTCTTCAGGGGACAGAAAGCTAGTGGCCCACTTCTTTGACTGCAGTGACACTGCAGTGCCGTGATGCAGGTCTGGGGCATCGCAAGCCAACACATGGATAAGCCGTATTGTGGCACCGCTGACTGCAGTCCACTCTGCAGGACCCAGCCACCACCCTGGGCCCCTACGCACCCCCTTCTCTTCTGCTAACCGTATTTGCCTGAGTCCAACAGTCCAGTTTTGCTTTATTTTGCCTGCCTGTTAATGGCTGATCGTAGCCTTAGTTTCTAAATGATATCAAGGCAAGAAAAGGGCAATGTCAAGGTGCCAGGCTCAAGTACCAACCTCCGCTGCTCTTCGCCGTGTTCCCCGGAAGGGACAGTGAGGCACTCGTCCATGTGTCCGTGGAGAAGCCTGAGGACGTCGCCGCCAATCAGATACCCTGCAGGGATTGAGATTCCGTCACCTTTGAACCTCACGGTCAGATGCTGATAATGCAAACAAGCCTCTTTGCCAATCTTCTGTTTTCATGGACAGCACAACAGTCACAGAGACGGACAGCTGCCAACTGCCACCTCTGAATCCTGGTCTCTTGGTCCCATGATAGATAAATGCCCACAGACCCCAAAGTGTCTCCACTAAGCCCTCAAGCATGGAAACGTAAGTGAGAAACAACTAGAGGGAATACAGGTCATCCCAGGGAAACCCCACCATGGTCAACACTGGCAGGACCCAGTTCTCAGTTATCTACCCCGAAATGATAAATCTTGACCTTGGCCTCAGTGAACAATACTCGTAAGTCAATACATTGGTGGAAACAACCCCTAAAAGCTGGTACAAACACACATACACATGCACAAGGAAGCTCAAACCCTCACACAGCCTTCACCTGTTCACAGCCCTCAGCAAGGTTCTTCATGGCATGTGCCAGCGTTACCTCCTATTTAGACACAGAAAGCACCAGGGACCCCCAGCTGACAGTCCCCTTTTGCTGCCCCAGCCACCTAGCTGACAGGGCACTTACCTTGGGCTGCCTCGCTTCCTGAGCTGATGGGGGCCACGCTCCAGAGCGTCTGCTGGAAAGCGGCGTCCACGTGCCAGCAGCCACTGCCATGGGACAAGTGCTGGAAGGGAAGTGGGAGAGATGACAGGCTCCGCTGGGCACCACCCCCTGCTGGGGCAGTCCCGTTGCCCTGCGGGTGTGGAAATGGCCACCCTGGACCTCTTCTTAGCCCTGTCGCCCACCAGGTGAGATACCAGAAAGGGAAAGTATGTTTCTGTTTAACCTCAGACAGTTTTATTCTAAGATGCAAGCCTACACCTCAAGCCAGCAAACACACAAGTAAATTACAGTGAACTTACTTGTAACAACAGCCTTTTTTAAAGCCTATTGGGAAAAACTGCCTGGCTAGTCAGCATTGACTATTAAAATTGTTATTATGCTTCCCATCTGTCATGTGACAGTCTTTGACAAGAGTTGCAATCTGCCAGGGCACGTTTCCATCTGATGGGTCCTTAAGGAACTTTTGCCTGCAATTTGATTTATGTTCCACTAGATGGCGGTATTTCCTACTGGGTATCTAACACAGGGACAACAAATTTCCTCCAAAACTCAGCTACTAAAAATGACATTTCCCTTCATTAAATATAAATATAGTTAAATAACATATTCATATATATGAAAGTCAGAATATATGAGTTGTCAAGCAATCAGAAAAATTGAGTCCAGTCGCACACTTGGCTTATTTTCCTGATAGCTAAGACTTGCCTCAGAATTTCAAACACCCCAGGAACTTGGCATCACATCTGAAGACATCAAGCGTTCCTGCAATGCTGCTGCAATAATTTTCTGATGCTGATGCCAGCCTCAGCTTTCCAAGGCCTTCACAGTTAGATAAAGGCCCATCGGCGTGAGTGGTCACTCTCTTCTATTCCAGGAGCCCCCCAATATCCTACTGTCATTACTACCTACGTAGATGATTACCAAATAACCTGCAAAAACAGTTCATTTCCTTTCTCTTAAACACAAAGCCAAAGCAATGTCAACATTTGACCTACATGTATTAGTGCTCAATCATTTCAAGTTATTGAATAATTTAATAACAAGTACTAATCCAATAAATAATAAATCATTTAATCAATAACACAGGCTCACCAGCTCATGCACTGCACTTAGAATAACTTGTTTGCAAGCTCCGTCAGTGCACCAGACCACAACCTGTCCTGCGTTAAGTTCTCTCCCCTTCACTTCGTCATTATGATGCATCATCCTGCTAAGATCCCTGTATTGAATTAATTTCTTCCCCAATGTTAAAATAATTTGACCATTTACCAAAATGTTTGCCATCTGCATTCACAAACAAGAACATTCAATTTTTCTTTATAGTCATTATTACACAAAATAATTGTTGTATTTTCATTCTCCTTCAAGTAAACAAGGTAAGTAAGCCAATGCTTTACAGTGAAAATAGTGTAACTTTTAAAAAATATGTTGTTGTGCATAAATAGTCTTATTTCAAGCATTTAACAAAGTAACAGCATATATCCCCCCAAAAACTACTAAAAATAGTTACCAAACCATCAGAAGGTAATTCAAAATACTGATGCTTATGTTTATACTTTTGAATTCAAGTAAAAGCTCAAGCCATATTGCACTAGATCTGTTCCTTCACCATGAGTCACAGAACAAAGTATGTCTAAAGCATTGTGCTAAGCAATATAGAACACATTCCACACCCATAGGGTGTCATCATCTAAACTAGAAGGTAAAATCTATATACAAACTGCTGCAAGATGGTATTTTGGAAATCCTCAGTGAACTGCTGTCAAAGTGCTACAAGATTGGGGGAAGAGGACACTAAGCCCCACTACCTGGAGCCAGCTCACCCAGCGGGCCTGGGGCACATGGGACTGCCCAGGATGAATGGTGTCTCCGGCGGGGCAGCAGGTTTGAGGAGCAAATGGAATCTTATGATTTCACTTCTATATACTTCAAGATGGTGTCGCCAATAAGTTTGTGCATCCATCCCATTTGGGTATGTGTGTCAATGTTAATATACTAAGTGTGAATGTTGGAATCATAAATTTTTGTAAACCAGGCTGGACAAAAATGCAGTTGGAAGTATGTTAGCCCTCCCTGGCCATCTAAGAAGCTCTGCTGCGGGGCTGGTGTAACAGAGGGTATGGGAGTTCTGGAGAGATACACAGACAAGGTATAGTACTGAGCTTTATTCTGGGGGCTCCCAGCATACGCTCAGGAACAGAGTCAGAGAGAGGTCTGCGGAGCAAATGGAGCCAGACAAAGGCCCTCATACCTCAGGCAATGAGAAGCTACCGCATTTAAAATAATAGCTGGGGAGGAAGACGGCTACAATGCGATCTTCAAATCATGTCTAAAGCCTAAAGATTAATAATAAAAATATGAAAATTTTAGCCTGTTGGAGAAAGTCAAAAAATGTCTGTAAGACCCTATCACATCATAAAAAGATACCCAAATCAGGTCCATTATTCTACAGAACATATTCTCCAGGCATCTATTCTGGATGCTTCGATCTAACTGTGCTGCTTCAACTCAAAGGCAGCTGTGGGACAGAGGCCTGCACTCAGCCTGTGCTGCCAGGCACTCGGACAGAAGAGCAGGTGCAGTCACTGAAACTAAGAAGAGCTGTCCTTAAAGCAAAAGTAGGTGCTGTCAGAAGCTGAAAGCCAGGTCGGCCTCAGGCTGAACTACGCAACCACGGCAGGATTTCTCCACGAATACGCCGACATCGCCCGCGAATGGCAGTTTAGGGGCTCTGGGCACAGATCAGTGTGGGGCTCTGGACACAAATGTGTCCTGGTCTCGGTCCAATGTTTACGCTCATGACTCCCAGGTTGCCGTGCACATGAATCACCGAAACTCTTGTCAAAAATGATGGCAAAAACGCAGGAGGTGTGAGGAGCCCAGCTGAGCCACAGTACAGAGCCGAGTGTTGAACAGCAAGCACCATGCAATAGAAGCGCGAAACCTCGGACATGGAAAGGAGACTGTAAATGAGCTGGAGTTACTACCTGGCTTCCAGTCCGGTACTTTCAGAATGTCTTTTGATGTTTTCCTTGTGACCCTATGTATTTAGTTTACCAATTTTAAAACATTACAGGCTAGACATCAGGAAGCTTTATCAGACTGCCAAAGGGCACTAACGCTTTTAAGAAGACCTGAACACTTCTCTGAAGCTTTAATTCACTCATTTGTTTCTCTTTTAAGTGTCAGGCACTTGGGCCCTGGTGGTGCAATAATCTGGAAACATTCTCACCCAGTGACAGGAAATATTAGTAAGCAAAACATATGACCCTTTTGGGCTTCATGCTTATTTTTCTTCAGAGAAAATATAAAGAGCACAGAGTATGTGCTCACTCCACATGTGAGATTCTACAACTCCATCAGTGGAGCCATAGAGAGGAAAAAGGGCTCAAGTAAATTCACCTCAAATGTACTGTTCGGTCTAATAACTACCTTGAAAATAGCCGCTTGCTCTCTTATTAACTCATTTTTTATGCAACTTAAAAGAATTCGGCAACTTATGATGGCATCGAAACATGCTATCTCAAAAACTGAGTTATGAGGGAGGTCAAGTCAATTCTTACAAAGCTAGAATAGCTTCCTTTAGCATTTTCACCACTCTTAGATCATGGAGCTGTTTCTCCTAAATTACTTTTGGAGGTTGTTTGACAATATTTCATGGTTCCTTTGAAAGATGTTTCGAGGGCTCTCCCAGGTAGCATGAGTTAAAGCACTGCATTATGAAGCTCTCTGAAGCCACTGCAGCACGAGTTTGATCTCCAGCCAGGGAGCTGACCCACAGGGTGCGGCAGACCTCTCCTGGACTGCCCACTGCTCTCCTCAGCAGTGTACTTTGTCCATCTGCCTGTTCTGCTCCCTACTCTGTGTCTGGTGAATCCTCTCATCCATCACACCTCTGGCCTGTACCCCAGTTCTGTAAGCATAAATAAATAAATCTTAAAAAAAAAAAAGTTGTTTCTATGTGTGACCCAGTTAACACAAACTTAGTCAAAATCATGTTCTCAGTGCAGGCAATCGGAGCCACGGACTGAAGACTCCTGTGTGTACCGGAACGGTCTGCATCTTTCTCACCACCCAGAATTGTCCTTAGGCTTCGCCTTGTTTCGTTTAGTTTGAATTAGATGATACCTATTTGGATCAGGTTTTCTTTATTCTAAAATGCACATGTATCTCATTTTTTAGCTGCATTCCTAAAGCCTTCTCTTAAAGAAAAAAATAGGTTGGAAGCCCATGGGGATTACAACTTGGATGAAAAAAATGTACAAAATGAAAAATGATGTGTGCATGTGTATATATATGCATATATATATATACATATATATATTTATACAAATTCATACGCATATTAAAGTAATGGTGATGAAGGGCCCCGATATCATATTACCTGGGCCACAGAGTCCTTTGCACCTGTGACAGTTAAGCTGAGCAACCATAATAAATCACTGCTCTAGGTTTGACTAGCATCTGCTAAAAATATTTTGCTATTTATTATTTATTTTGTAGAATCATTTATTTGTTAAACCACAAAAAATTGTAACTAAATTTTTAATGCAAAAAAAAGTTTTTTAATAAAAAGAAATAAAATAGCTATTTCTAACAGGGACTTAGGAAGTTTTTCTTTCCTCTTGAATCACCCTGAAAAGAGGATGAAGATTTCACTATAATAGAACAGGAAACAGCCAATGAGCAGAGACACTATTTGGATGTTGGTTTGCAACAATTTTCAGAGCTAGGACCCTTTCTTCCCAGGAAATTCTGTGCAAAGGCTCAGCATACAGAGTAGAGGAGGTGGGAGGAAGGGAGAGCTATCGGGATGTGTGTTAGAACGAACGTCTGACCTCAAACATCCCTCCGCTGTGCCACTTATTGACCTCAGGCACCACATCGGTCCTCGCATCCATCAAGAGAAGACTACTGCTCTACAGGTCTCTATGGTCAGCCAGAGTAGAAGTGGGAGACGATAGTTAACCCTTGCCATGCCCTTGGGAACTTCCTGCACAGTAACCTGAACGGTTACATGTACGCTCTAGTGCATAATATTCCCATACCGATCCTACTTGTTTAGCTTAGTTTTGTTTTTATTATCTAACTCTTTTAAGGCAGAAACCATGTGTTGTTTCCCTGGTCTTGGATCTACTATATGACATGTCCATAAAGATGGGCAATGTAAGCACTGATCTCATCATCAAAGGGGAATGGGAGCCTAAACCCGGTGAGTTACTGTCTGTCGCACTACAGAAGACTTTACCCAAAAGGGAACTGCACAGATTGCCTAAAATGCAGCTTGAAAACTACTGGTGGATTTTATTTCATCATGAAGTTGACTGATATCCACAGGTATCAGGGGTGAACATCACGCACTAAGTTTATTGCTGTTATCTGCATAGTGCATTTAAATTCAAAACATATTCAAATTTAGTATCTCATTGCTTCATCACAGTGACCTTGATGCCAAGTATAATCACCAACATTTTATAAGAGAGGAATGTCAGAATCCAGGGAATGAAGGAACTCTCTTAGGTATTCAGGGGCAGAATTGATGCTCCGGCCTCTGTGAAATTCCAAATTTTCCACTCCGTACTGCATAAGGAGGCCAATCTATCTAAACACTGTCCAAGGGACAAGCACACTTACTGTATAGTAACAGCATGCAGTTATGCCAAAATCAAAATAAGATGTCGTTTATATACTGAAAGACACGCGTGCGGTATTTTCCCCACTCTTCCTGGACTCCAAGTAAAACTACACACTAAAATGTGTCTCCTGATCAGAATGGGTCACCTTCGCATACACAGCGCACGCATACAGGAAGGGTTTAATAAGTCCTTATTTGTTAAGTCAGAAGGAAAAGGCAATGTGGAAGGGCCTCACTCACAGGGGCAACCCAGGTAAACCAATCAAAGCCCTGGAGAGACAAAAGCTGGAGCTCTGCAGGGAGTGAGGGCTGGAGTGAGGCCGCAGCCACAGGGATGCGGCACGGTGCATTGCTGGCGGGAGAACGAGGGAGACTACAAGCGAAGGGAACAGTGGTGCAAGAATTCTTCTTTCGACCAGCTACCACCCCTGGGTGTCCCAGAAGCACACTGGCAACTGATGTTGCCTGCGCCGTTAGGAGACCAAGGGGGGCTGGCTCCTGTGGTCCTGGCACAAGATGCCCGTTTCACATAATCGCCTCTGTCGGTTACCAGGGGGACTTTTCCCAAGTCCCTGTCTTCTTCCTTTCTTGGCTGCACAAAACAAGTGAGACAAAACCTTTCTTTCTAGGATGTTTCAAAATGGGAACTAAGCAAGTCGGTGCTTAACCACCCCAAGTCAAAAAATGCAGAAAATGATGTAAAAATAAGCCATTACATATAAAAAACCACCCCCAAATCACTCCATTTCCATCTTCAAAAAGCAAAGGGTTACCAACAGCTGATGAAACCCAAATCAGTTATTCACAAATCGTTTATGTTATACACTTTCTAAACCCCAGTATGCGTTAAACCAAGAAGAAAGCTCTATTTCTGATTTCTGCTCAGTCATAATTTACTCTGCTGCCTACAATATTTGTATGTGGATATTCAGTGACAGTTTCTATATGTTTAATTGCTATTGTCTTTGCACTGGAATCCTTCACACTTCCATTCATTTCAATCTTCTGCAAACTTCTGCACATGATTACGCCTTACAAAAATGCAATTTCCCATAAGTTAAATATATGCCCCCCAAATTAAAGATTAGACATAATCCTCTTTCTTCATTCTTCCATTTCCAATACCTCCTCCTTGAATCAAGGCACAATCTCTGAGAGGCTAATTTGTTTTTCATCTTGTGTATTTCTCCTTTCTTAACATGGCACATATTTCTCATCTAGGAATTTGCTTTCAAAATAGGCAATCACAATCTCATTAATACAGATTTTACTTGGGTACAAAATAAAGTCTGTAGAATTTTGAATTCCAGGTGAGACTGAATGTCTGTTATTGATAAAACAATGCAAGAGCAGGCATCATGAATCTCATGGCCATGCACACCAAGAGCAGAGAAGACTGTCTAAATGGAGCTCACAAGCCTTTCACATTATTCCTCCAGTTAGCGAGTCATTTATAACTCATTAGGAGACAGATTTATTTCTATCCAGTTCCCTGGAAATTTTCCAATCTGAACTTTAAAGAGATGATTGTTCTGACCTGTATTAGCCAAGTACACGGACCACACTTACCAAGTACCTCTCGGAGGACACACTGACTAAAATGAGGTCGTCCCCTACTCGGACTTTTTCGCCTTCTGATCGCTGCTTCGAGGCAGGATGAATAGTCCACCAACAAGCTTCCCCTGCAACAGTTTGCAAAGTGAGTCATGAGTTAGGGTTTGCTGGGTTCTTTGGGTAGATGCCTAGGAGCTGAATTGCTGGACTACAATGATGTAAGGGAAAAAAAAACTAATTAATTACAAAAAGGTGAATAAAGAAGTCCTATTAGTTTAAAATTGATTTTCTCTGCCCATTACTCCAAAGTAAAAAGGGGAAATGAACTTTCAAAATCAGTCTCCTCAAAATGAAATTGCCCAACTCACATGACCTTCGAAAATTTGGAAGTGAATGGAAATTTTGACCTAATTCAAAAGAATTAGGTCAGTCAGTAGAGGGAAAGGTAGACTGAAAAGCACAGATTCTCCTCATAGACACTGGTTCTGACAGTTGGGGAAGTCTGGTGAGCTTTTCCTCACCACAAGCTGTTTAAAGTGGGTATTTACTGGTGCTCCAAGCATCCTGATCTGACTTCACTCTTTACACAACCATATATAATTACACTATTCCCATCGCTCTCTGAAGTAAGATATAGTTTTTTGTTGTTGTTTTTTGTCATTGAATTTTTCAAAAGCAGTTTTGGGAAACCATAGCCACACTGTAACAGCTTTAAAAACCATACTCTGCTGGTTCAAGTGGAAGCATACAGTTGTCACTTCAATTTATCCTACATCTGCTTTTATGTTCTTTTAAAGTGCTATTGCTTTTATTAATGCAAGAGCAACACATAAGAAAATCTTAGGACAGGAGAACACATCATAAAGTTAACGGAGTGCACGTTAAATCAACAAAGCCTCAGGCCAGGGATAAACACTGTTCATTCCACAGTCCCATTACCTCACACACAAACTTCAGCGCATAATTCTTTCCTCTGGTCAAAGTTCCTTCTAAATCCTAAACATAAGTTCTATCCAACAATGAGAATTTTTACAGTCATATCTGTTATCTAGTAATTATTCTGTCCCTGATACAGCTTTATTAGTTTTCCACAAAATGTCCTTTTTACTTCTTTTTTAATTCCCCAGGGCCAAATGTGAGTTCCGTAAGAGCGGAGACTTTGTATGTTTGTTCACTAGCTTTCCAGCTTCAACGATGCACTCAAGAGAAATTTATCTTGCAGAATGAGAAAAATGAACCATGCAAGAATGTTTCTTAAACATTCCTACAGCCCATCTGCTATCCTTGCCCTGAGCTGCCTTCCTGACATTAGCCACGGTTTGATGTCTCTTTACAGAATCCCTTTTTTTCATTCTCTCAATTCACATTTTGGATGCTGCAGTGAGTTTTTCATTCAGTCACTCCAACAGTCCCCAGTACTTGTCAATCACTGCTTTAATGGCTGGGGATACCTCAGAAACAGGGAAAAAAGTAGCTGTTTTTCGAGTTTAATTCTGAACACAGCAGGTACATAACAAGCAGTAAACGTAATAAATAATTCAGCAGCGTAGAGCCCTGGGGAGCAAAGCAGTAAAGGGTGTCCAGATGCAGGGAGCGGAAGGCCTTGCTTCGCTGTTGCCGATGAGAGAGCCACCACGACTTGCGAAATCAACTCACAGATCAGGCACAGCTTTAGTTCTGAGAGTATACTCAAGGAAATCAGTTAAATGAGAAAAACAAACAAGGCAGCAAAATGCAAAGTCTGTATGAAGTCTCCGTAAGATGACATAAAAACCAGACGACAACGCTGACCCTTTTGATGTGAGGCTATCTTAGGGCAGAAAGGAAAGAAGCCTGTATTTTCCACCTTTCTGTTGGAATACTGCCATTGAGTCTGCTATGTTGAGAGTATGACGACATTTTAAAGGCAAAGACACTCAGTGATAGTCCATAAACTCATCAGCACACATTAAGGCCACCAGCAGCTGGGAGATACGTGGCATGTCCCATTGTCCTACCTGAATTCATCAGAACGAGGCTGAAGGCCCAGACGGAACCGCCAGCAGACACAGCACACCCTTCCGCCTCCTACTAAAAGTCTCGCTCAGGGGCCCTCCCTGGTGGTGCACTGGGTTAAAGCGCAGCACTGAGCAGCTAAAACCACTGCAGCAGGAGTTCAGTCCCTGCCCCGAGGTGACTTACAGGGTGCGGCAGACCGCTCCTGGCTCCCTGATGCTCCCCTCAGCTGTGTACTTCCTACGTCAGCCTGTTCTGCTCCCCGCTCTGTCTCTGGTGGATCCTCTCACCCTGCACCTCTGGCCTGTACCCCAGTTCTGCATGCATAAATAAATCTTTTAAAAAAAAGTCTTGCTCAGGAAGGCGACTGCTTCTCCTGTCTCCACCTCCCAGAACTCTCGCCTCGTGCCTCCTCCACCACCCCCGGCCCACAGTTGCTTCCAGCCCCGCCCGCCATGTCTCCTCCGCACACCGTCACCGTGGACCAACGTGCTCACCTGTGGTGTTCTCTTGCAAGCCGACATCGAAAGCCAGTTTGTCCGTGGAAGAGCGGGAGGTGGACAAGCAGCACAGATACTGAAAGAAACGCAATGGACAGTGGTCACTAGACATCCGTGGTCCTGCAAGAGCTTGATTCTGGCACTGTGTTTGCTGCCCGCCTGTTCCAGTCGGGTCAATCTTCCTTCCCAGATGAAAGTTCCTGTGCTAAGTCCAGGTTGCTCATGGTGAGGTAGCATGGAATTTACATAGCGTTCACTGGGGTTGCTGATAGAAAGGAAAAGCATCCCCTGGCCCTCCTGAAACTACCAGGGCATTGTGTTCTGCCAGTGGAAGAAGACCAGTGACTGCTGAGGCCCTGGGACAGCCCTAGTTTCCGGGATATGCGTTAACTGTGAGCAAAAACTACAACCTGAACTGTCAGAATCTTTCTCCCTAATTGAAATTTGTCAACGATTCTCTTCTATGTTTGGCTTGAGTTCGAGCCCCAGCCAGGAGGGACCCTCAGGGCACAGCAGACCTCTCCTGTCTCCCCGCTACCCCCTCAGCAGTGGATTTTAGTAGAGCCACCTGTTCTGCTCCCCACTCTGTCTCTGGTAAATTCTCTCAACCCCCTGCACTCTGGCCTGCACCCCAGTCCCTATGTGTATAAATAAATAAATCTTTAAAAATCACTAGATGCAAAGGGATTATTACATACAGTTTCACATCAACCACTTCACTAAGGCGTTTTCCTTTATTTTATCTCATAGCTTGCAACCTCAGTCAGGATTTCCTGAACAGTGTTAAATAAGCTATTCCTGTTTTCATTTGTTTGAGTTACTTTTGTCCGGAATGAATTCAGCATCTGCCAGTATGATCTTGGCTACTGATCTGACACTGTGGTTTTGCTTATTCTTGTGCCATCATTTGCTTCCTCTCATCAGGAATGGGAACTGACTTGTATTAGGAGTCTTCCAGCACTTGTTAAGGTGGAGGCCTGGTCGGTGATATGCAGAACTGGGTGAACCAAGGAACTGATGGGGAAAAGCACTCAACATCAGTTAGGACAGAGAGCGGAGAACTTACTGTCGCTCCCTCAGACAGCTTCTCTGTTACCTTTCTGTCATTCTCTATCAATGAACGCCTTCATTTTGTTAACTGCCTAATTTTATGGTCTAATAAATGAACTGCTATAAGCAAAAACGTCTCTCATTTGATTCTTCTACATCTCCCCCCAACAGACACCAAAAGGGAGGCACCGGGCGGAAGAGTCACCCAGTGACAGAACTGACCGAGGGCCACTGCGCTCACCCTCGTTCCCACACGAGCAGAAGCAGCCCCCGGCCCCGCGCGCCGATGGCCGGCCGAGCGCTGGACCGGCATCCTGGCCAGGCCAGGCCCCACGAGGGCAGGCGGGGACTCACCATGCCGCTGTAGGAGTGGCGGAGCAGGATGGCGTGGCCGTACAGCAGCGTCCGGTGGCCGCTCCCCTGCGCCGTCTGACACCAGCAGAAAGGGCGGGAAGAGAAAACAGGCACAGTGAGCACGCGCGGGGCAGAAACAGGGGCGCACAGAGGGGAGCCCTGAAGGGGTCCGGCAGGGGATGGGGACGGGAGGGGCTTCTGTGGAGGCCGCCAGCGGCTGAGCTCAGGGAGGAACGCTGCTTCGGGACAACTGGCCTAGCGCGGCGCGGCGCACTGACGGCTGCGCGCAGGGGCCAGCATCGCCTCCTTGCAGGAGTCTCGCGTGGGTCGGATGAGCCCGGACAAGTCGAGGACGCTCTGGCCCCTGAGGCCTGTGAGGAAAGACCCCGGCGGCCTTCAGGCTGTGACCCAGGGGCCCGGGGCAGGCACGGACGGCCGCCGCCATGCGGCCGCTGCGACACGGCCGCTGTTGTGTGGGCTCCACACTTTGTGGCGGACGCTTAGCCTTGACCCCGTCTGGCCTCCCGCCTCCGGCCTCCCGCACCTCAGACACGCGGACGTGGCGTCCTGTCCTGAGGAGACCAGCTGCCCCCTTGCTGCCGGCGCCCTCCCCAGTCTCCGCCGCCACCTCGTGCTGCTGCGAGGCCAGGTAAAGGCCACCCCTCCGCGCTGCCCCTCCGAGAGCTCCGCGCGCCCAGCCCTTCGCGTGACCACGGTCTGGTGGCCGCACCGCGAGCCGCCTCCTGCCCTGGGCTGGGCTGTGTGTCCCCGAGGACCCGCGCTGGAGTTCTGAGGCGGGTGAGGAAATTCCCGGGAAGAGTCTGGGGGAGGAAGGGAGCGCGGACTGAGAGCGGCCTCACAGGAGGAGGAGTGACGGGCTGGAGCGGGCCCAGGGGAGCGCAAGAACGCGGAGCGGCGGAGGCCGGCTGAGGGAGAGGGGTCTCCGGGAGGCGGAAGGCGAGACCCGCTCTCGCGTGTGCGTGCGCCCAACACGCGTGTATATGCAAGGTCGGAGTCAAAGCAGTCTAAGAGGCGACGCCAATATACCGTACTGACTTAAAATCTGTCCCTCCTTCATTGCTCATTCGCCTTCTTAAAATAGCTTTATTTGTATTTATATACCTGGAAGGCTCTTTAAGAATATGTTAAAATTACAAGAAAAACTGATTTTTTCAAAAGGAAGATCCCTTTCTCACCTACTGAGAGGAAAAGAGAAAAGTCCACTTTACAATGCTATCTATGTTCTCCCTCAGCACGAGGCCGTCTTTAGAGAATATTTTGTCTCCTATATATGTCAACAAATATTTGATTTATCATGGCCAAGATCAATTTTACATAATTTGTCGGATTTGAATCTGCTCCTAGGTAGCTACCTTTTAAATCCAGAAAAGAGTTCTAAAGCTGTAAAACCAGCTGTGCTTTGATAACATTGGACAGAGCAGTAAAGTAGGTTTGTTTTTATATTATAAACTTCATTTTTACTGAAGTAGCTGTGGTGGACAACATTGCATATTATTTAGTTTATTTTTTTTTATTTAGTTTATTTTTAAATGAAGGATGAGGATTTAACCAGAGGCTAAGTGCTGCTTTTATTGTAAAGCTCTGCCTATGGAAAAAATTCCACATGCGCACACATAAACATTCACGTTGATTAAGCCAAGAGGGAGATAATTCCGTGTCTGAATTTTCTTTCAACTAAAAATTATATACAATTAGACAATTACAGATTTTACACTAGATTCCTTCACTACTTAAAACCTAGTTTTTGCTGCAGATTTAGTATTAATAGACCTTTTATAAAAAAATATGCAAATAGCTCATACTAAATTAATTTGGTTACTTAAAAGAGCACAATTAACACAAAGGGGATCCAATTCCGATCACATGGTCTACAACATTTTCCTCTAATTTATCATTTTGAAATAATAGTACTCTAATTGGCTCTATTTCAGAAAAAAATAAAACGCATAATTTCTATTTGTGGGGCACACTGAATAATGTGTTCCTTTAACCAACAGTCAGCAAAAGATCGTGGGTGTGAACTGCATCCATCCAAAGGAATCTGAGTTTTTTCCGTTTTTTTTTTTTTTTTCCGTCAGCTGTATCAATTTCCTTCGATTTGTCTAGTTCTTGAGAAATTTAAGTGAACAGTATTTACAGTATTTGTGAGCTTCCTCTAATGTAAGGAACCGCTGCTACTTTATGAAACCATCTCTAGGGTTGTTCCTGTCCTGTGACAGCCTGGCTCAGGTGAACTCAGGTGAACTGCAGGACTCTTCCCCCAGCAACGTCAGTGAGAAAAAGCTCCTCTCGGCTGTGCGATACGCCACAACGCAGAATTCAGTGTTTTCCAAAAGGGGTTCGTCTTTCCTACCAGTCCCCCAAGCCTACAGCTGTAAGCACAGTGGGCTGCAGCCACACCACGTTGGGCATCGGCCAGGAGACCCTCTGGAGAGAGTGACAACCGCGGACCACCGAGCTCAAGGTCAGCGGCTTTTCAAAATCACACTTTGGGAAAGATAATATCTGTGCTTTGTTTTGTGTTAAGATGTGAACTGTTCCTTGACATTTACAATACAAGCAGAGTGAAAAGCGCCCTCGATTGTACCAATGAAAAGAGAATGAGGAAATTAAAACTGCAGGTGACAGGTAAAACTTCAGTTCACCTCATGCCATGTAGACTCGAGCCCTGTCAATCTCCAGTAAATATTACAACGATAATATTTATATTTATTTATACTGTGGTGCTGTCTCAGATACAGCACCAGGTGCTGAGAGTGTGAAGAAGAGGTTCAGTCTGACCGTCTCTCTACCAAGAACGATTTTTTTCTGTGAAAACTCTAATTGATCATTAACTTATTAACTATATGCTGAGTTCCATGTGATTTCCTTCAAAATATTTGCAAGCTGTTAGTGGAAGTTCAAGAATTAAGTCTTTGTCTATTTCTGAATACCTTCAACTAGAGGATGTATTACAAAGTTCTTGAAAATACTGATTCTGTGTTTTACTGCCCTCTGGTCAGTGGTTTTTGTTTTTCGGCTATGAATCTATCTCTAGTACTAGTGTGCTGTTTAAAATTGTTTAGTTTACTAACTATATAAGATCTAAATAGTTGAAGCTCTTCCAGTTTTTTAAGTCTTTCTGCATGTTAATCAACGTTAATCTGCATGTTAATTCCAGATCTATCTAATGCAAGAGAACTTTTAAAAATAAATCAGACTTCATAGAAGAATGTTTCTATATTCTTTGACTGCTATAACATGACACAACACTTTACAAATAAAACCATGACCTCCTAAAGTGTATTTATAACCACAATACTGAAGTGAGCTGTCAAAATGTAAAATAATAGACAACAAAAGAAAAGTTGCATCAGAAGTTCTTTCAACCATTCAAATGTTTAGAAAAGTTCAGCTTCAAATAAGAGTAATATTGGGAAAATTAGTGGTTTTAGAGAAGAAAAACAAATTTATCTCTATGCATAAACTTTTATATTATCAGAGAATGACTCAAAATGCAAATTAACAGTGTGAGATTGACAGGAATGGAACAGAATTGCTTTTGTCAGCCTGGAGTTCTGATCAATTTCAGGGTCCCTGGCAGCAGCAATTCTCCAACAGCCCTGCTAGCTTTCATTATTATGAATATGTTTTAAAAATTAAAAAAAAAAACTATTAGGGTTTGAATTATAGATAAGCTTGGGGGAGCATCAACAGCTTTAAGATGTCATTTTTCTATCCAAAGGCTGGCAATTGTCTTCATTTATTTTAGGGCTTTTTCAATGTCATTCAATAAAGTATTGTAAATACTCTGCATAAAAAAAAGAACAATGATTACATTGAAATAAAAGTAAAACAAAACCAGCCCCCTAAAACTAAAAATAAATAAATAAAAGCACCACACAGCTTGTTCACAGGATGTTCATACTAAAAAGGCTTCTGTCTTCAGTGCAAAACTAACGGGCTTGGCAAAGCCACTTGGACCTTGTCGAGACAGTCATTTGGCACTTAGGGGCTTACTTGTGATGCTAAGTAATAAGCAAAAGTCTCCTGAGGGAACAGAGCAGGCCTAGGAGAGCTTTAACTAATCATGCAGGACCACCCACAAGAGTGGACTCCTGAATCAAGAAAGCCCTTGTCTGATTCTAGGAGGTCATTAAATAACACTTATCAGCGCGTAAAACTCCAAACAAAGCAACACTGGCAAGTGTAAGAAAATTCATCACCCTTTTCCTTTTAAGCAGCTTAATTTACTATGATTTAATGCATCTGACCTCCACTTAGTCAAATTCTAACCATTTAGATCATCCAAAGCAGGTATAAAAATAAGGCTTCTGGTACTGCAGTTAAGAGAAATTAGGTTAGTGCACCATCTGGTTTAAACTAATTCTGCATCATCTTTTTATTTGCATTGATTTTTCTATAAATGTGCTCTCATGAAAGAGCTTGAGCTTTAAATTCCATGTATTTGTCTCCAGTGGGAAACAGAATGTTGATGGGTAAAGTACTGGGATTGGACTGGATGATAAAGTGCGGACTTAGCAAAAAAAACAGCATTTTCTTGCATCAGATTTCATTAATTCTTTCTTTTCTGCCAAGAAAGAACATACTCGTGTTTTGCTGCTAATTTATAACATGAGACCTGTTATAAACATATAAACCTGAAATAAAGACAGACTGTCCACTGTTTTAAAATTTTATGTGTATCGATATCACCTACATATTTCCACCAATGGCATAATGATGAATTTTGCTCTTCTCTTTTATTTTCATCTTGGGCCCTCCCTGGTGGCACAGCTGGTTAAAGCACAGCACAAAGAAGCTTAAGCCACTTTCGCATGAGTTCGATCCCTGCCTGCCCCAGAGGAAATCCACAGGGCGTGGCAGACCTCTCCTGACCTGCCCGCTGCTCCCCTCAGCAGTGTACTTCCTCAATCTGCCTGTTCTGCACCCCACTCTGTCTCTGGTGAATCCTCTCACCCTCCGCATCTCTGGCCTGTACCCCAGTTCTGTACGAATGAATAAATAAATCTTTAAAAAAAAAAAACTCTCCATTTTACTCATTTGGTAGAGAA